ACCTTAAATTATAAATATGAGGTAAGGCCTCTTCAGCTTATTAGATTCTTCGCTGAAAATAAATTACAGGCACCGTCAACGCATAAAGCCATACAGTATCTTGAGGTCGAGCAATGGTTGTCTGTCGCGGTCTTCATTTTTTATTTATTGCGATTTTCTTTACGAGTATATAAATTGAGGGCATCAGTTTTTTTTATCTGCCAACCCCAAGGGAGACAGCTAGGTAGGTGACACTCGTAAAAACTAAAATAAAGCTACGGTTGCCATTAGCTCTGTGGGTATGGCACTCCACGCAGACTCTACTCAGTATCGACATGACTGCTGATAGACAGAGGTTTTCATCCTTTGCGGTTTACAAGTTTACTCCGCTCTATCCATATGTGTACACCGCCTATTTATGCGCTATTTTTAACCGACTTAAAAAAAAAGAGGAGGTTCTCAATTCGACTGTATTTTTTATCCGACTTGAAAAAAGGAGGAGGTTTCTTAATTCGACCGTACATATTTTTATTTTTTTACGTGTGTTCGTGGATGACGCTCGTCGTTTATTAACCGATTTTGATGATTATTTTTTGTCAGAAAGGAGATATCCCAAGGGTCAAATCGAGGAAACGTTATAGGTATTAACAATGTTTTTAATTTTCTGATTGAAGTCGGTTTTTTTTTTTTTTTTTTTTTTTTTAATTATACTTGTTTTAAATTTCTTACCTCAGAACTTTCGACGTAGTGAACTGGTTGTGATGATTCTTTTTTATTTGAAAGCTGTTGCTTCCCATGTGGTCGTATATTTGAAAGCTGTTGCTTCCCATGTGGTCGTATATTTGAAAGCTGTTGCTTCCCATGTGGTCGTATATTTGAAAGCTGTTGCTTCCCATGTGGTCGTATATTTGAAAGCTGTTGCTTCCCATGTGGTCGTATATTTGAAAGCTGTTGCTTCCCATGTGGTCGTATATTAATTTCATTGGTATTAGACCTTAGGCTGCGGAGATACTTAGGGAACCCCTGAAAATCAATTATAAAATGAATATAGACCTAGATATTTGAAATCGGGTTTGCTTTTCGTTAGTAAAAAAAAATTACTTATTTTACGTTATTTTGCATAAAAAACTTGACTCCAAAGAACCTCTTTCTTTGAAGTTGGTCGAAAATGGACTTTTATTTTATTTTATTTCGAACACTTACAGCTATTAATAAAGACACTTAAGAAGCCACTTACAAGTTTTTACATTTAGTTGTATTCTTTTAAATTATGTAAAGTAAAATAAATATAAGGAATAAAAAAAGATCATGATTACAATAACATTAACTTGTATAGATTATTATAGAAAGAGCAACAATAAAGATAATAAAAATTGCTATGTAGCTATTATTTAATTAAATTTAAATACATTTAGGAATAATAAATATTAAAACATAATTAGGCTTGAGATATATGCAATTCTCCAACGCCCTTGTACGCTCCTGAAAAGACGGGACGTCTTTTTCACGCATCCAGGGGCTCAGCATAACCAGGCGAATGGAACGCAACCAGGATATGAAAACACGCATACTTCTCCGCCAGCATGTCCAGTGGTAGAAACCGAGCTAGGGCACTAGGCCACCTCAATTCTCGTTCGATACCCTCGTACGATCCTGATAGGTATTCTTCGCTGCAGGCTATAAAGTTTAGCTCTGTAACGTCGGAAGACTCTATGCTGAAATAAATATATAACTACATCAAATTGTGTATATGGTAGTACGGAAAAGGTTCAAAGTTTTCCTTCTCCTGTCTTGAGTCATTAACTTTCATTGCGATTTCTATTTTCAGACCTCAGATAAATACACCACCGGTTGGTGCATGTTAACGAGCTAACATCGTTTATCAAACCGTAATGACGCTACGCCCTAACCAATATGTATTAAATTAATAAAACACTTGTGAGCAAAGAAAACTGCACAGTTGTTGAATATTCAAATTATGGTTAATACATTATAAAGTTTTTGTAAAATATTGTTATCATAATTCTTTGTCTCATAAAGTGCTTGTATGAAAATTAAAAGTCTTACACAGTACAAAGCGAATTGTTATTCGACACTGTTAACCTACCAGTTCTATGGCAGGTGATGGCAATTCTAAGCATAATAAAGGATGTCGATACTTCACAACATTTGAAATACCCTCAGCTAATTATGTGGACTTCAGGCGTTGAAGATTTGTAGAAATATTTCTGCGTGGCACGGTATAGTGGTCAACGTTATTCTTCCAATCCAATCAGCCTTTTGCAGTCCACTGCTGGACATAGGCCTCCCCAAGGGCACGATCCAGCCACTACCAGTGAACTTTCTCAGGTCATCGGTCCACCTGGCAGGGGGACGTCCGACACTACGTTTTCCGAGACGTGGTCTCCATTCGAGGACCCGCCTGCTCCAACGCTCATCGGTTCTACGACAGATGTGGCCAGCCCACTGCCACTTTAGCTTGCTAGACTTATGGACTATATCGTCAACTTTGGTCCTCTGCCGGATAATTTCGTTTTGGATTCGGTTTCGATGACGGTTTTGCCTTCAGAGGTTTTCAGCTTTGTCAGATGGCTCCTACCCAGCCTTTTAGCAAAGGCTTTTGACCCCCGATTTTGCTCAATCGCCTCTTTTACGAGTTGCGTATTGAAGCTTCGGAGGTCACGACTCACCGATTTGCAGATATCTTTGTTGAGACGTTTGGTGTTCAACAAAGCTTCCTCTGGCATCTCACATCGAATCCTCATCAGTTCCAGAGTTCCCGCCGACAATTTACACTCTCGGCTGCTTCGCTTAGCTTTAAAGTGCCTTGTTCCTACTTCGCGAACTACCCTGGACAAATTTTCGAAGCCCTTGTTAACCATCCACAGTGGTTTCCAGCGCGGCGAATTGATTGTGCAGTTCCAACTGGAATGTTTCAGAGCCAACTGCGGTTTGAATCAAGGTTGGGCAAAGAACGGACCTCACGGCAATATTTAAGGTGACTCTTACAAGTCGGTGGTCGCTGCCGGTATTAAACATTGACCACATTTTAACATTGACCCCAGAGACAACCCTAAATATGCGCTACTTGTCCATAAAGATGAATTCAATCTCGTTCTTCATCTTACCATCGGAGCTTCGCCAGGTCCATTTCCTATGGGATTTCTTCTTAAAAAAGGTGTTCATACAGAACTACCCGTGCATGTCCAGGAAGTTGACCAGCATTTTGCCCCTTTGGTTTCTGATTCCAATCCCGTGTGGTCCGATGAACTATTCCTCGCATTCTCGCACTACCACTTTGGCGTTAAAGTCTCCTATGACGACGGTGAAGTGGGTCTTGGTGGTATTATCCATGGCCTTAGCGATATCTTCAAACTTTGCCTCGAATACTGTATACAAGTGTGATGATGTTGGCGCATATAGCTGTACGACTTTGAGGGAATACCTTTCGGGCAGCTTTAGTAAGAGGTACGCTACCCAGGTCGACACACTGGACACCTCCAATGCGTTGTCACGGTAATTCTTGTTGACAAGGAAGACTACGCCACCCTGAGACTGTTTGTCGCCCTCTTGGAAGTAGAATAGGTGGCCGGATTCTAGGGTTTTCGTGTCCTGCCCCTGTCTTCGGACTTCAGACAAGACCAGTACGTGCCACCTTATATTTCCCAATTCTGCCTCCAATTGCTCTAAGCTTTCGTCCAGCCGTAGACTGCGTCCGTTATACGTCGCCAGGGTCAGTTTGTGGCAGCTACCCGTAGCCCCGTAGGAGATTCCAAGCAGCCCCCGGCCTACCGTTATTCTTACGGTAGTAAAAAGTTCACAAGCTATTAAAACTTTTATATTAAGAACACGACTAGAAATTCTATACGGGTTTATAACTTGTAGAAATACAACTGTTCATCTACAAGTAGAAACGCGTTGTTTCATATTTAATAACTAATGTAACTAAATAAGTTGTATCATTTAAATATCTGTTTCTATGAATAAACCTAATCTAAAATTACCGCATGGGGACAAAAGCTAAACTCTTATTGAAGAAATAAAACATGTTCCAATAACACATTAAATTGATTTCAGTAATCAAATCATTATTTTATGATGATGAGATTCATTATTATAGTTCAATCAATCAATCAAAAAATCTTTATTGAAATAGACGCTTGCGCGTTCTTATGAATCATCAAATTTTACATAAAAAATTATACATAGAGGTTGGTAAGGTACCACAAAAAATAAAGTATGTAGCAGCCTATAAACGTCTCACTGCTGGGCAAAGTCCAGAATTGGTGGACTTCAAATGTCTTCGAAATATTTTTTTTTATTATTGTTTAAAAAATATACAGTTTTCCTCAAGATGTTTTACTTCGACGCTTCAAGCACGTGATAAGTCAGCAATTAAAATTGACAAATTTCATTGGTGTCGGCACCGGGAATCGAACTCAGGTTGCTCGGGTAAATTAAATTAAAAACAAACTGAGCTATCAAGCCTCGAAGACTAATTGTTGAAGCTTTATTTAAATATATAATTTAATTTAAGAATACGAACTTGACGGTAACTAATTTGAGTAAGACCCAATGAAAGTGGCATGAAGTGTATGACAGCTTATAATCCAACGTTGAGGTAAATTAAATCAATCATTATAACTTTTCTACTGTTCAGTTAGCGGGAAGACGCGATCATGAGCCCCATGAATATAATTTTGCTGTCTTTGACATTAAATTTTTGCGTATCCGTAGAAGCCAAAAAACAAAGTAACGACAATAAGAGCTTGATTGTTGACGATTTGAAAATTTGTGAAAAAGTTAAATGTATCAACAAGTGTTGCAACGCAACCGATTACGTTTTCGGCTATAATGAGTGCGTGCCATACAGTGATGAACTGAGTTTCGATAATGTAACGGTGTACACTGATGACATTTACGACACGGGCAAAGTTTTACGGGACATGTTTTATCTCGTACCAGGAATGTTTTCGAATGTCTCTTTCCGCAGCAATGCATATAATTTGATATGGCCCGGAATGCGCTATTATTTAACAGAGGTAAGATGATCATTCGCAGCCGGACCTTTACCGATACATACATACTCTTAAATGAACTGCTATTACCACTAATTAAGAAATTGATCCAATAATTTATAACGTCATCAAAATTTCTATTGGTAATTTCGCTTTCACGGTTATCTTACTAAATTAAGTTAAGTTTTTTTTTAAATCTTGTTACCGTCTACAATGTCAATAGATTCTGAAAAACATACAGAAATATATATCTACACCTGCCCTTATCTCATCTGAAACACATAACGTGCATACAACATATCTGAGATTATTTATGTATTGACATGATGAGTATTCCAGTAAAGTTTTCGTCCGATTTCTGAAATTTTAATACTGGGCTAGGATATTCAATGTAGGGCAAACAGATCCATAATTTAATGGAATGAATTACATAAATATTTAAATTATCGCTTTATATTCACGACACCATACGTCTGGGCAAGTATCTGCTGGAGAGTCGTGGCTACAAGCTTGTGTTAGTACAATATATGCTCAGTGTTAGAAAGCGCTCAAGAAAACTTTTATACCTAGGAAATAGATAAAATCTAAGTCTTTTATGGCAAAATTGATTAATACTTGTAAAGTAAAACTTATAAAAAAACTCTAATTTTCTATTGTCGAATCCTAATGGATTAACAATTTGTTTCCTTGACAGCAAAAAAGCATATTCATATTGTTTTAAATAACATTGCTGACTAAAATACATTGAATATCGGGTAGAACATAAGAAACAGATTTAATACTGGGCTTCCATCTAGTCGTGGCGGAAAAACTTAGCTTAATCGTGATTTAATCCCTCACTGCGAAGTCAAGAGGAACTCCCACTGGGCCGGCCGGTGGTATGAGGCCCCATAGGCCTGAGACTTTACACCTCGTGGTCGTATTAGTAAAAAAGTAAAAGTAACAGCCTATACATGTCCCACTGCTGGGCAAAGGCCTCCTCTATACAGAGGGTATCAGGGCATAGTCCACCACGCGGCCCCAATGCGGATTGGCGGACTTCACATATTTTCGAAATATATTTTTTTTGTTATTATTTTGAAAATATGCAGGTTTCCTCACGATGTTTTCCTTCACCGCGGAGCACGTGAGCTATCACGGCTCGTATTAGACCACTCTAGATACATCCAAAGAATGTGGGGAGATAGGGTGAATATAATAAAAAGAGGTGCCACACTCGCTGTACTCTGCAATTGAGGCGTAACAGTGGTGGGGGCCACTGGGGGAGAGGTTGCAGGCACGCTATCTCTATACCTACCCTGCGCGGCAGAAATGTGTTGCGTAATGAAGCCATAAACTAGAGTTATTGAATATGAATTGCTGCTTGTTGCATTGGCCCTAATGCCTCCCGGGCAGCGAAATTTAGACGTCCGTTGCCTAGGCAAAAGCGGCCGAATAGGAAGGCGCGCTATATGTTCCAGTATGCTAAGCTATCTGGTCCGCGGATATGTGCGAAAGCGTCCCTATGGCTATATATGCACCCTAAATGGACCATTGTGGGTATATAGTGAATAATTGTGGTAGGGCCACATAGCAGCCTCGGCTGTTGCACCAATGGGCAGGCTCGTCCGGGTAAATGGAAGTATAATAAACTTTCGCGTTTCGTCTGGTAAGTGAGATAGCCGGAGCACAATTTTCAAAAGATTGTCAACGCATCTGCTGCAACCCTCGGGTGTAGCAGATGTAGATGGGCGGCGGTATTCACTTAACTTCAGGTGAACCGCCTGCTGCCTTGGCAACTTTTCACATAAAAAAAAATACGATTCTGTCATAACCGACCCTTGCTCCCGATATCTATTTACATTCTTCGTTACATTGTCAGCAACGCTTGGTGCAATATTTTTAATTGGCAAAATCGTATGGAATCGTTACCCAGAACACGCCGGGCCGATACCCGCAACGCCGAATCTTCTTGTTCACTTATTTAAAAACATACACATCTTAAGTTTCATATTGAGTGCAGAGGCCAGCACTAAAATAAACGTTAATCCTATAATATGTACCTTGCTTGATTTCAGAATGGTATCCTCTACTTGGAAACGCCGAATGCATACAAAAGGTGGACATCTTTTGACCCAAGCCAGTTCTGCGTCGATTATAAGTCTTATAATGATAGGCTAGAGCCCAAATTCTACCGATATATAGATAGTGACAGTGATAACATTACAGAAAGTAACGCGTTCTTTACAACGGGTAATTATATAAATAATAAACCATGAGTTTACTAACGCAAATAACTTAAATAAAGTACAAAATAATTTCGCTATTCAAAATATAAGTAAATATTGTTAATCGAAAGGTTACTCCAAAGAACATTCTTAGGAAGTTTATTTTTAATGGGATTTAGAAAATCATTGAAATATGATAATGATAATAAAGTGAAAACACAGAACAATAAAATAGCTCCTGTGCCCATAGCCGAGAAATCGCTTGAACAACGAAATGAATATTAACATAAATCATTAAAAACAATTGATATTATTATTGAACATTTTCAGTACAACTTTTTTATGCAACTGTTATTTATTTTCAGCATTGCTCGTCTCCTGCGTGTTTCTGGCGCTGACGATGATAGTGTACGCACTTTTGCCCGATTTGAGGAACCTCTCCGGAATGGTTTTGATGGCGTATGTAGCCAGCCAGTTCGGAGCGTTTCTAATGCTGGCCGTCATCCAGTTGGACTACTACTCAGTCGTCGCCTGCATCGCACTGAGTAAGGACTAGCCTTTGGTCTAGTGACGCCTGCAGATCAATCCCGAGTAAAAAATATTCTATCAAATTAAAATGAATACCATTATGTATTATAATAGACTATATGTATATATACATAGTATATATTATACTGCGTGATAGAGTTCGCAACGAAGACATACGCAGTAGAACAAAGGTAATCGACATAGCTCAGAAGGTTAGTAAGCTGAAGTGGCGATGGGCCGGCCATATAGCTCGTAGAACCGATAACCGCTGAGGAAGAAAGATTCAGTGGCAGCCTCGAACTGGCCATCGCAGTGTGGGACGAGCCCCCAATAGATGGAGTGACGACCTGTGCAAGTGTGCGGGAAGTCGATGGATTCAGGTGGCTCAGGATCCTGCTTCGTGGCAGACTGGGGGAGGCCTATGTTCAGCAGTGGACTCAAACAGGCTGAAATGATGATGATGATATATTATAAGCTGGCTCATCCAGGGAACCGTATAAGTTCTTAAATCAAGTAAAGTAAAAGAAAATAAAAAAAAAGCATAAAATTATATTTTTTTAAATTCGGCAAACCCTAAAACCGGTAGCTAAATAAAATAATTTTGGTAACATTCAATAGATTAAAAGTAAATGATATAAATTGAATCAGGAAAAAAGCTTTTTTAGCTTTTCGTACCCAAAGCGTAAACCGGGACCCCATTACTAAGACACCGCTATCTGTCCGTCTGTGACCAGGCTGTATCTCATGAACCGAAACAAACAGTTGAAATTTTCACAATTGATATATTTCTGTTGCCGCTACAGCAAATACTAAAAAATGTATATATAAGTGGGATACATAGAACATATATAATCCCATACAACAGACTAAATTTTTTTGCCGTTTTTATATATTATGATAAAAAACCCTTCGTGCGCGAGTCCAACTCGCACTTGGGCGGTTTTTTATATAAAAGAAGATTGCAAGCGAGCTTGCGGTACACCTGATATTAAGTGGTATCCGCCGCCAATGAACATTTGCAACACCCGTAGGGTAGCTGTTCGTATTGCCTGACGAAACGCAGTAGTATAACTGCACTTTACGCCTTCCAACGGAACATAGAAGTTATACTTCTTCCACTTAACGCCTTCCACGGACGAACCTATCCATTTCTACAACAGCGAAGACTGTAGCTAGCTTCATCGTTCAATAGTCACAAGTGTTATGTAATTACTTACATTAAAACTAATTCCACTTATGTTACAGCGTCATCTATTTATTTCTTCTTTATATCAAGCTTCTGCTGGATGAATGTCATGTCCATTGATATTTGGTGGACTTTTAGGTGGGTCCCATCATTTATGTATTTTTAAAACTCAATTATTTATCCGCGAATGGTGGCTTACAGGCTTGCCTTCCAAGTTAATGATATTAAACTTGCCGATTCAAGTCACATTCCGTTTTCAGTGATTTATTGTACGAAAATATCTTTTATTTGGTTTTGGTGCACGGCGACTAACAATCAAGTTTTCGATCCAATAATTTGAGTGACATACTATAAGCAACAAAAGAGACGAGAGCATGCAACAATTGAAATTGTAAAGAATCCTCTGCTTAAAGTAGAAAATATAATTAAGGAAATGAATCTCATAAATATGTATTGTGGAGATGTTCTATAGATCGCAACAATAATTATAAGCTATTACTATATTTCTGTTTGTTGAGAAAGAAAAAAAATATCAATAATTGATAATGTATCGTGGTGATACACTGATATGTTTTATTGATATACCGTGGCTTCGGCGTCGGGGGTCGTGGGTTCGATTCCCACACGGGACAGCTATTTATGTGACCACCGGTTGTTCCACATCTGGGTGGGGTCTGCGTGAAATTTATGTTTGTAAAAGTAAGGGCATAGTTTTAAAAAAAACCTGTGGCACTCGGGGACTGACGCGGTAAAGCTATTGCATAGCATTTTTATCAACTGATGCAATTATAATTAATTATTTATTTTTTATTTATTATAAACTTTTTTTTTATTTGATAGTAATTCAAATTTTTTGTTTGATATTAATTCAAGTTACACTTTTTAAGCGTGGTGACCGATAAGAAAACATTTTTTTTTATTATCTCACAATACATGTACGTTATTCAGGTTTATGGTAACTAAAATAAGAAACATAAGTGTGAGACTTGACATCCTCTAAATATCATATCATCATATGATAATATAATATTCTAATATCCATCCGTGCGAGCTTCGTACAGTCGTACCATATACATACACGCTCGGCGAACGCTCGGCCGAGCTACATGGTAGGCGGAGTGGAGATTGGGTGTTGGATTTATTTTCGTTACGGAATTTCTTGATTCGGTCGCCGCGCAAAGCGCCCGATAAAAGCTATGCAAAGAAAAATATTAAAAAAGAAGGAAAAAGAAAAAAAGATTGTGCTAAATTCTTACGTAAAAATAACGATAGACATCTCTTTGAACAGGGGCTACGCAAAAGCACGCGCCATTCACCGGCGGGGTGAGACGTTCAAGTTTTTGATATACTGCGCATACGCTTGGGGCTTGCCTCTACTCATGACCATCGCGCTAGTGGTCCTCAATGTAACAGACCTCTCGGCTTATCCGTGGCTGATAACACCTAACATACCCGACCAAGGGTGTTTCCTGGAAGGTACTGAGTACTAGATTACACAAGTAGAATATAATTAAAAAAACCAAAAAACCTGGCTGCGTTTCTGTGTATTTTTTTAATTTTGATATACCCAGTGTCACTCTCACGGTAAAAACGAATCTAACCACACTTCTCAAGCTAAAATCCATCAAGCCGTTTAGGCTGCAGAGCGTGCCAAACAATTGCCTAAACATACATACATACTCTCGAAAAATATAACCGTCCTTATGGTGCAGTCGGTTAATTATAATTTAAACGTCAAATGGGCATGAACTTGTAGCTTCTACAGAAGCAATGGAGAGATGGTGTTGATTTAATAAAAAAAAACTGGATGGGCGATGTTGTGGAGTTGTAATAAAAGCCAATTCACAATGTCGGCTCCAACCGTGAATAAGACACTTTGAACCCTTCTGTATAAACCAAGATTTAGCCTGGGATGTTTACATAAAAAAATTATAGCTATATACCCATATAATTCACTATGAGGACTACGCATTTAAGAATATTGTCATTGACAAACATGAGTTATTACTTTGAACAAATTTCCCAACACTTTTTTATAAATTTTTTTTTTCACAAAGTTTAGAAACCAAATATAAAAATCTTAAATAAGTGCGAATACAACAAATTACTAGTTATGCATGTTCTAAAGTTTACTTATTACTAGTTTTGTTTAACTAGTAATAACTGGGGCTTTTATTTGTAGTTCTAGTTTGAATCGGAAATAATAAATTCGCTCTCAACAATTAATATAAAGAAAAGTTACACAAACTGCCGATTACTATAATGGATAGTGAATCCAACTCCTGCACCAGAGGATGTGTTTAGGACTTTATAAATATTTAGAAAAGAAATACATGTTTAATTGTAGAAGTATGTTTATCTGTTACTTAGTACTCATCACATAATTTGCATTAGTTTAGGACTAGATAAAGTTGTGTATTAATATGTTTCGAGTGTTCAAGTCATCTATTGAGTGTGTGTCATCACTCATTAAAAACGATTATAATTACAGGTGGGCAGAAGTTGGTTTATCTGTACGTGCCCATGTTGATTCTCATTACCTGCAACTGGATATTCTTCCTTATGACCGCATTTAACATATGGCGGCTCAGTCGAGGAACTGCTGTATTAAACTCCGCTTCCGCTGGCATGCCAGCTTCCCAACGCTTTCAACGACACAGGTACCATAAACTAATCGGAGAAGAACGAAAGAAAAAAAATATTTCTACCACAAATATGAACTATACAGAAATGTTTTTTTTTTTTTTCTTAGCTTGAGCTTATGTCTTCTTCTATTCGGCTATATTAGAGATGTCACTGTAAGGTTTTTTATTGAACACAAAAAGGTAAATGTAGTAAAAGGACATTTAGGCCTATCTTTTCAATATTTTTTTTATGTGAGCTGTTAGCAAACGAGCTGACGATACCAGATGTTAAGGGATAAGCGCCGCCCATGGACATTTTCAACGACCGTGTGGTTGCAGATATGTTGCCATCTTTTAATAAAGTGGGCCCCGGCTACCTCACTCACCACGCAGAAGTGTGTCATTTCCCTCATCATACTAAATGCCGAAGTAGCTATATCATTTCCACCGCACGCTGGTCTGGATTGTGGTACTTCCCCCGACGGACCTGCCCATCCGTGCAACAGCGAAGACTGTTGTGTGGCCCTGAAAGTCGGTGGGTGTCGGTAAATTTAAACATAAAAGTGCTGTCTTAACCGTGAGCATTTTAAGTAATTCGATTTTTTTTATGTAAGACGGTCGCAATCGAGCTGGCGGTTCACCTGATGTTCGGTGATACTCGCCCCCCATGGGCATTTGTAACGACGATATGGTTGCAGATGCGTTGCTACCTTTTATTACAGTGGGCCCCGGCTACCTCACTCACCGGACGAAACGCAGAAATGTAGCACTTCGACTTCACGCCGATCTTCGGTTAGGTAGTGGTACTTCCCCGGACGCCCATTCGTGCAACTGCGTATTCTGTAGCGTGGCCCTACCACGGCTTATCCGGATCCATCGTTTTAATCCCTTTGACCTCACGTCGCGTTAATCAATTAACTCAAGCGAACCACCTCGCTTGCCAACTTGTCACGTTAAAAAGGAAAAAAAAACAACATTTACAGATTTCTGGTGTATCTGAAATTATCCGTGATCATGGGCATCAACTGGATTCTCGAGGTGATCAGCTCCTTTCAGCCTCAACTGAAAGTTTGGTACTTCACCGACGCGTACAACATGTTGATTGGCTTGGCGATCTTCATTATATTCGTGTGCAAGAGGAAAATCAACGTTAAACTTAAAAAGAGGTAAAGCAGGACGCAAAATATGTAATCAATAGAATTCATATTTTTTTTATGTCAAAAGTTGCAGCAAACGAGCAGACGGTTCACCTGATGCTAAGTGAATACCGCCCATGGACATCTGCTTCACCCGAGTGTTTGCATACCCGTTGACAACCTTTTTGGAAATTGGGCTCCGGCTACCTCACTCACCAGACGAAACACGAAAGTATTATACTTCCACTTGACACCGGTCTTCTGTGAGGTCGTGGTACTTAACCGGACGAGCCTGCCCAATCGTGCAACAACAGAGGCTGCTACGTGGCTCTACCACCGTAAGAGATGGGGATATATGTGAAGAAATCCGTTGAATTTGTTGAAGTTGTTATTATTAGTGCGCCCTTACAGGACAATGATCACTATTGGGTCTACTACCATTTCCAAAAGCTGTATAAATAAATAATAAAATTTTGAAAGAACTTAACGTCTAGGTGAAGAAGTGACAAAAGTAATGTTTTCATTCCAAAACCATCATATATTGTCGATTTATAAAGTTCGTCATATAAATGATTTTAGTAAAATCATTAAAACATTCGTGAGTTATTATTATCGAAATAATTATAAGACTGAACTGATAATTTGCGTGTACTGTCTTAGCATATCTATTTTACCATTTCATTCCTATTAAACTCTTTTAATTAATCATCCTTAACAGGTTAAGTGACTTCAGACTCTCCAAAATGTCAAACTCTTCTCGAAATCAAAGCAGCGTCACGACGGAATCAAACATGAATCCCGACGCAACGATAGTCAGCTCTATTCCTCAATACTCTTCCAAGTGAAATGATAAAGAAACGAAGATCTGCACCCACGTTGCTGTTATTGCTATCAATGACATCCAATAATGAGGAAAAGAGGCTACATATGATTAAGATGTACATAATTCAGATGCGTACTCGATGTCGCCTCCTGCTTAAAATGCTTGAAATAGATGTTTTAATATTAGTTTCATTTCAAGACTAAGGCGCGCTGTATATCGTTGAATATCTCCTATTTGATTGTATTTTTTAAAACATTACAATAGACATTATACAATTTCTATTCGTTTTATTATTACATTTATTTACATTTTGACACTATGTTTTATTCTAATTTACGGTGTAGTTGACTCCATTTAATTTGATGGAGATGATTGTCAAGCTCGTGAGTTCTGGCTAGCCCACGAGTTCTGCGTTCGATGAAGCTCTAATACTCTATGGACTTAGAGAAAACAGTCTTGTTGTGTGCTCGTCGTTCAATACGCAAAACAAAAGGTATTTTTGGACGTTATAGGGACGTATTTTTGAGTAGTTCTACGGCTACGTGATTCAAGAGTAAAAACAAGACAGTTATAAGCATTTTGTTATTCGTATATATGTCTGCATGTAAAAATCCCTTTTTTCTGAACGGGAGATAAATCAAGTTCAAAACATCAGATAGACAGCTCGAAAACACTATGGCTGGAAAGCCGCATAAATTTCGGGCTTACTGGCTAGCCCACATGTTTTCTATATCTTAAATAACTCCTCGTGTAAAAAGGTGGTTTCGGTTTGAGTGAATACAAGAACCACCATGGTGACGATAACTATAATCAGCAAGCTAGGTAACCATACAGTGGTTTCGCATTTATTTCTAAAGATTTGCAAAGTAACTCATTATCATGAATCACTCGGATTATTCATGACACAGAATTATTGTAATACCCGTTCCTTTGTTCCAATGGATTGGGAGTTTCATTTTCAACTAATGACATGTGCACGTTGCAGTAAAAATATATTCTCCTTTATTGACTGAAAACACACTTGTGCACTACTCATGTTTATTGTCAGAAAACTTATACTCTAAACTACTCAGGGCCGTAAGAATAACGGTTCGCTTTCATAGTTCCTTAAATATCTAAAATTGATTCGTGCAACTGTATATAAAGAATTTTATGAACGTTTGCATAGTACCTAAATTTAATTAAAAGCTAAGCTAAATCAGAAGCTTTTGTAATATTTTATATTTCCTCCACGAACCTTTAAAATTTCATTAATACAGTTACCAGGAAACATACTTATACAAGACAAACACAACATTTTGGTTTTTCCGCAATTTGATATAAACAATTTAATTTTGTACTTATTATTAACTGTCCTCTATCAAATACGTTGGAGTATAAGGATAAAAGGGACACATTATTAGTTGGGTTCCGAGAGGTTCAACTTTAACGACAAGTTGACGTCCAAACAAGCTACATAATTGCTGTATAATATTAGTACAAACGTTTTAATTAATTGATTTGCACCACGCACGTAAAGCGGTTTGTTATTCCTACGAAACGTAGCTACCTACAGTAGATAAGAAACAATAGTCAGAATTGTTTGCATCCCGTTGACGTAGGTATTTCATGGTATACAAAATCATGTGTGCGTTTTGAGATACAACTTGGAAGCGGTGCGCTACCCACATTTGAACACGTATCGATATCGCACTCGATGCGATGAAATTAATATTGCGTTTTGCTGCACCCAGTCTCATTAAGAAAACTGTATATTACAATTTAAAACAATTAATCATTATAACCTAGTCAGATAACAGCTACCGATTGGACGTTTATTTTGTCTCGGGCACCCTCGAATCGGAATGCTAAACGGATATTAAGTTATATTGATATTGTAGAAGCTGAGAGTCCCCTCTAGGAGGCCCTTGAGCCTGGTTACTCAATAAAGCATCTGCCAAAGTGACCTAAGAGCTTGGCGGCCTCCCAAACCAGTGAGAGTAATAACAGCGTGACGGCCCAAGCCGAGGCTCCCGGAAGCCCTCGAGTTTAGTCACCCATAATCGAGGTACAGGCTAGGCGCCCTCAGTGCCCGGCCACCTCAAACCCGGTGGATCTGTAAATGCCACCGGTGGACGATCCAACTAATAATAAAAAAAAAAACATTATAAATGAATCTACTTTTCCTGATTTATCGCGTTTATTTTAAATTTTAGTTCCCGAAGATTCATGGTCACAGGAACAACCTATTACTGTCTGAGATCAACGTAGCTATTATTTCTAAGACCTGGTTATGTGAAAACATCTTAGATGCTGAAATATGTAATAGCAGATATAAAATTTTTCGAAGAGATCGAGGTAGGCTTGGAGGTGGTGTTATGCTTCTATGTAAATCTGAACTACAAGCATTCGTAAGACCTGAATGGAATAGTGAGGGTCTGGAATGTATTTGGGTCTCAATTTCCGGTAATAACATAGGCCTTTCATATAACTTAGCTTAGCTGAAGTATATATACCACCAAATTATAAATAATATACCATGATGTATAGAGAGTTTTCTTAACATGCTAAAAGCCGTCCGCGAATAAAATACAAACGATCACATTATTGTTGCTGGTTATTTTAATCTACCTTGTATAGACTGGTCTTCGGGCGAACTTTTTGATTTGATTTGATTTGAACCTGTTATCCGCAGAAAACGATCTGTCGATATCCAAAATGGTTTATACGATATTATATCTTATTACGGCTATGTCTCAGATAGTAATCGTTGGTACTTGGTGGGTTTCGTTCTGATTTTGTTGAGATAACATCAGGAGTACCTCAAGGCTCTATCCTGGGTCCTCTTCTTTATGTAGTCTACTTATACGATGTATAAGTAGACTATGTGTATTGATGTTTCAAAAATGCCAAGTTTCTTATTTACGCTGATGATACGAAAATATTTATGAAAATCAAAAATCACATAGACTGCGTCAAATTTCAAGAAGATCTTGAACGGCTTGACAATTACTATAAAGAAAATCGTATAACCATTAATGCTAACAATTCTCAGTATATTTATTTGTGATATATCTTGGTCGAAAGTACCTAAATTAAATTGCCTACACCCCTCTAGCAGTTGTATCTTAGCTTCTAGTTTTATTGAATGTAGTGATTCAATAGCTAATGCAAACGGCAGAATACTTGATTTGGTTCTTTCAAATCATACTCAAGTGTCAGTTAGCCAAAACTTAAATCCAATAAGCATAATCGACAGTCATCGTCCGTCTCTTAACATATAGCATGTTAATGTTCCTAGAACCGTTGTCATATTTAATTACAATGTTTTGTAATTAAAAAATATTTTAATTCCATTCCGATGGTGGTTCTTCACAATAAATAAATAAAATTACGTAACTTCCGCACAGTACCGTGATAAGTCACAGAATTGTATTATAATATTGTTTAATCGAATATTGATCAATGAAAGGTATCTTATTTTGAAGAATAAAGTATATAATAAGTTAATGTATTATGTAGAAAAAGTGCGAAAAGATTGTCGCCGTTGTGGGAATCGAACCCACGTCTTCGGCATTCGCGGCCTGACGCTCTAGCCACTGAGCTAAATGGCTGATTGCCACACCGACGAAAATCTTAACGTATTCTTCTACATTGTTTTCTTAGCATTTGAAGCAATGCTTGGCGCCATCTATTGTTATATCCTTTCCAGCATACAAACAATTTCGAATATCGTTTTTACAACGATATTCGAATATTTAACGATTTTTATATCATAAGTTTTTCAATCTACACCCTCAATAGAAGACATTACAATAAATAAGAATGTTTCAAAACGGAATGTTTGACGGTATTTTTTTCTCCTTGTTTATTTTTAGTCTACACAACAAATGTGAGTCTTAAAATGCTGTTTACATTACAGCTAAATGCATTGGGACCAGTTGTTGCGTGGTCCTATCACAGTTGTGGTAGGAGTCTAGACTCTAGGCTATAGCAAGAATGCGCAGGTCCGTCCGGGTAAATATCACGACCTCACAGAAGGCCGGCCTGAATTAGAAGCATTACACTTCTGCTTTTCGTCTGGTGAGTTAGGTAACCAAGGCCCACCTAAATCAAACATGTGCAACCCTAACGGTGTTATAAATTTCCATGGGCAGAGGTTATCACTTAACATCAAGCGAACCGCCAGCTCGCTTGACACTTCTCACATGAAAATAAATAAATAAATAAATTGGACAGCTTGTACGCTAGATTAAAAACTACCTCTGTGAAGCCGCAGGTATGGCTTGTCAATTTACTTAGATAATATTAGTAATAGGGTCCCGTTTAAGGTTCCCCTTTGGGTACGGTACCCTAGTAAATGCTGATCTGTTGTTTAACTTTTAGGTTTATTAAATACAAAATTATAGCCGTAGCATGAAAATAGCTTAAAGGAAATTGAAATTTTATTCTATGCAATATTAATCTATCTTTCTTTTATTGGCGTAATTTCAAATTACCATTGCCGTGATCATTACTAAACAAATGTATAACTACTTAAAATGGTGTATATGACTCACCCGATGAAGATTCTGAGTTTTATTTCCGATATCCTGAATACTTCGACTCTAAGCGGTTGCTATTTCCATACCTCAGATAAATACACCACCGTTTGTGATTCGTATTAACACTGAAATAGCTAACATTCTTTATCAAAGCGTAATAAAGCTACGCCGTAACCAATATATTTTCAATTAATAAAACACGTAGTAGCAAGAATACTGCACAATTGTTGAATATTGAAATAATTCTATTACGTATTTGTGATTAATAGATGGTGTTCTGGTTCAAAAGACACAAATGTTTTATGTAAACTGTATATTTTTAACTCATACAACGTTATATTTTAATACTACTTCAGGAAAGTTCATAACAAAAAGCGTAGATAATGATAAACAAATGAAACAACGTAGCCAGCGGTTCTCGAAGTTCGAGTTAAAAAGTTCAAACGGTATATGATTTTATAAATATTCATGCAAAATTAACTGTGTACCAGTTCACAAGTAGAAACTCATTATTCCAGACTTTAAAGTCAAAGTCAAAATTTCTTTAATTATATAGGCTTAATTTAAGTTCTTATTGAACATCGAAAGAACTACCACCGGTTTTCTAAACCAGACCTCACCAGTGAAGAACCGGCAAGAAACTGTGCGATCGTGTTATCTGTTTTTATATTATACAGAAATAAATTTAATAAGTAATGTAATTAAATGACATGTATCAATAAAACATCTGAATATTTAATTTAAGCCAATTTAAAATTATCAGATGAAGACAAAAACTAAACACTTATAGAAGAAGTAAAACAACATCCATTAACACTTTAAATTGATTAACTAATTTCATAATTCTTGAAGCTTTTTTTTTTATAGTAATAAAACTTAGAATGACCCATTTTTACTGCTATTAAGTGTATGACAGCTCATAGTTCTGAACTGTAAGCTGTCCAATTAAATCAATCATTATAACTTTGTTGTTGAGCTAGCGGGAAGACGAGACCATGAGACCGTTGAAAACTATTTTGCTGTGTCTGACTTTACGTTTTTGCAGTGCCGTAGGAGTTCAAATAGAAAGTAACTACTCTGGAAGCATTATCGTTGACGATTTGAAAACTTGCGGAAAAGTTAAATGTATAAACAAGTGTTGCAACGCGACCGATTACATTGTGGGCGATAAAGAGTGCGGCCCATACAGCGGTGAACTGAGTTTCGACAATGTCACGGTGTACACTGATGACATTTACGACACGGGGAAAGTGATGCGTGACATTTTTCGTCTTGTACCAGGAATGTTTTCGAATGTTACTTTCCAGAGCTCCGCATATGAATTTACGGAGTTCCAACTGCGCAATTATTTAACTGAGGTAAGATCCATTCGCTCCCAAATTTTCGGCGAAACTTCATATATGTCTAGATAGAGACTTATTATTTTTCTTTTAAGAAAATTTACAATAAATAATGAATAAGAAATGAATGTAACTTACTACCGGCGGTTTAAGCTAAATACCGATTAATTTACAAATATTAAGTATATATTCTGTTACTTGGGCCACTCTTTGATTTTATTCTAACTCTTGAACTAGCGTTACTTAAAACAGAATATTATTTAAAAAAAAACCAGTCAAGTGCGAATCGAACTCGTGTTGTTCCGTACCTACCCGTTATACCGCCATAATAAAATTCGTAATATAATCACCACAGATTTTCTCAAGAAACGGGTGGACCTAGCAAGTTGAAATTTATACCAGATACTTTCGACCCAAAACCTATAGGGTACTTCCGGGTTACCTAGAATTGTCGATTTTGGTTAAAAGCAAGATCTTACAGCACAAGTAAAGGAAAAATTCCAAAAAATAAAAAAGTAGAAAACATATATATAAATTTTGGTACTTTTAAATTTTCGGAAAAATCTAAATTTGCCCATATCTTTTTATCATATTGACCCAGGACTCTGATTTTATAACACCTAATAGGGACTTTAGAACTAAGTATCTAAAGAATAGTGACAGACATAATATAAATACTAGAAATAAGGACAAATTAGTTTCACCATTGTTTCGTCTATAAAAAGTAAATAAAAGGTCGTTCATGAGGAAAAATGTGCGCATATATAATAAAATCCCACAGTCGATATTTAGTCTGCCAGTTACCCAATTTAAACGCAGAATCAAAAGTAAACTTATGACTCAAGCATGTTATACCATTGCGGAATATCTCGTCGACGCCTATGTGTGGAGTTAATACTATTGATACTCACGTAGGCTACAATAAGAAGAGAAATGTGACAAGGCTGGATATGCGTAGATAGTTACGCCATTTAAATAAATATAATACTTCGAATTACATTCAGAGCTGAGGAAAAATCATGAGTACCTTAGTTCACGGCGCTTATTATAGCTCTAAGTGTAGGAATGTGATAAGGCTGGGTTTTTTTCTATCAAAAAGCTGAGGTATACTTATACTTTTTTTCTATCAAAAATGTATTATCCGCATCAAACATGTGCATTGCTTGATTACAGGATGGTATACTCTACTTGGAAACGCCGAATGCATTCAGAAGGTGGACACCTTTGGATCGAAACCACTTTTGCGTTGACTATCAATGGCTAACAAGTCTTGATAGAGTAGAGCCTAGATTCTATCTAGTTCTTGACGATGAATACATTCCAGAAAGTAACGCGTTCTTTACAGCAGGTAAGCAGTACGTTCTAAAACAATGAGCCATTGGCTTAAATAGAGTATAAGTAAATCAAAATGTAATTATTTATTAAATACTGAATCATAAGATTTTCTATAGGCCACTTTTAAAAGGGACGTAAAAATTGAAAAAATTTAGTGAAACAACACAAAAACAATTACACCGCTACCAACCATTCAAAACCGAGCACTCACTTATGTAATGCAATGAAATCTGACTATGGTAGGGCTATGCAGCAGTCTTTGCTATTGCTTAAAGGTCATCCGAGAATGTACCACGACCTCAAGACTTGCGCGAAGTGCGTTTTTATACTTCTGTGTTTCGTTTGTAGAGTGAGGTAGCCGTGGCACACTTTATTAAAAGGTAACAACGAATCCGCAACCCTACAGGTGTTGCTGATATCCAAGGGCGGCTACCAGTTAAGATCAGGTGAACCGCCAGCTTGCTTGTCACCTTCTCACATAAAAATGAAATGAAAAGTATCAATCATTAAAATAATTTAGCAATGTGATTACATTTTGAGTGCTACCTAATTATGCAACTGTTATTTATTTTCAGCATTACTCATCTCCTGCGTGTTTCTGGCGCTGACGATGATAGTGTACGCACTTTTGCCCGATTTGAGGAACCTCTGCGGAATGGTTTTGATGGCGTATGTAGCCAGCCAGTTCGGAGCGTTCTTAATGCTGTCCGTTATCCAGATCGGATCGCACACAGTCAACGCCTGCCTCGGATTAAGTAAGATTAACCTAGTCTTATGTCCGGTTCCTATATTCAACGAACGGCCGTTAGTTACATAGCTTCGTAACTTTCATAACGAATTGTAGATTAAAGGAACGCTAGTAACTCAGTATCTACGGTGATGCAATGGCTCGTAAGGAAAACCCCTCGTTTCGTTAATGTAGGAACCGGGCGCACACGCCTTTTATCTACAAGTCGTTATGAAAGTTACGAAGCTATGTAACTAACGGCCGTTCGTTGAACCGGGCATTAGTCACGAGCAGTTTAGATTATACCAAATCGAAGGGAAAATTATTCAAGAAGTGAAAGCTTGATTCGTACAGCAAATATCATCATCCCGCAATCAGATCTATAAATTCAAGTATTTTAAATATTATAATACTATTACTTTACCTACTATTATTACTTTTATCTACTACGGTAGGGCAACCAAAAATACTCTGTTACGTGAATGGTCATATACGTCCGAGGCATTACCACGTGCTTCCAGAAAACCAACATAAAGTGGGTGCATTATATACTTTTATGTTTCGTCTGGTTATTGTAGTAACCGGGACTGTTTTAGTGTTCTGTAACCCAACAAAAGTTTCAGATATGTAATAGTAGTCTATGAACATTAGGTGACCCGACATCTGGCTTGCTAAATTTTGGCATAAAAACATGTAAAATAGTAAAATTATTATATAATTTTGGTACTATTTAATATAAAAAGTAAGAAATTAGAATGAGATAAATAATATCAGAAAAATAGTTTTATGATTTATGGAACTACCGACATTATTCAGAAGCTCGTTTAAAAAAATGCAATGTTAGGCATTACTATTTATATTTATTATTATATTAATATATATATTATTACTTACATTAGAATAATGTCGCTTATTTTTGCAGCGTTTTGTACTTACTTCTTCTTTCTATCAAGCTTCTGCTGGATGAATGTCATGTCCATTGATATTTGGTGGACTTTTAGGTGAGTATTTTCTTTCCTTTTCTCCATTCTTTATTTTTTTTAAATCATTGCCCTTACTTTAGGTTAGCGTTATGTTGTAAGGACCTGTGTTGTAAGGACGTTTTACAAACATAAATTTCACGAGGCCAAACACGTAGACGCGAAACAACTGTGGGAATCGAACCCACGACCCCCGACACCGAAGCCTATACTTTTGACAACTGCGCCACATGTAGGTGCAATACCCACGTATTAATACACTTAATAACATCCACACGTAGAACGCTCGCACCAAAGCAAGTTTTAGTGCAATTTAGATATATCTACTATACTATTTTCACTATACGGAGCCTTCTCAGGTTTTGCAATGTGGAGGTCTACACCAATTTACTTACACACGTAATACAAGATACGCCCACCTCTCTTTCTCTCTCTCTTTCTCTTAGTCGTGACGTATTTACCTTTTATAGATATTCAAATCAGAACGATTCTAAAAAAGTTACTTCAGTATCTATCTATCTAATTGAATAAAAAAAGATTCTTCTTACATAAAAAACATGTTTTAGACACAAAAACGAACGATACGATGAGGTATCGTAAGTTATTCCGTTTTTCAACCGAAGAGACGAATTTGAGCCCTTATTTCAGAAAATGTATGTAGGTAAAAAGACGATCAAAATTCAACGCGCTTCTCGAAAGTTTTAGAGGATGGGGAGATCAAAGTTCGGCCTATAAAGTAACTCGAAGTGGAAAGAGAAGGAAGAAGAAAAGGAAAAGGGAAGACAGTGAACCGGAATAATGGGTAGAGTGGTGGTGTAGTGCAAGTGAGAGGTGTACAAGCATAGGAGGAAGATTGGTACGACAACGCGAGGTCCGTCGACCCTATAGAAGAGTATGTGCAGGATTGATGCGACAATGAGAGGGGCTCTGCACCTGTAGACGTATGGGTGGAGGATCGATACCTAATGAGAGGGCTGTGGCATCTGTAGTATTGAAAGTTAAGGATTTGTGCGGCATCAAAAGAACCGCAGCGCACGTTTTTAGTTGTAAATAAAGTGAAAATTTGAAAACCGATGTTTCACTCCATTCCGCAACCACTACCTAACTCGTAACAACTTTGATTGATTTTTTTTTTAACAGAGGCTACGCAAAAGCACGCGCCATTCACCGGCGGGGTGAGACATTCAAGTTTTTAATGTACTGCATTTACGCTTGGGGTCTGCCTTTACTCATGACCATCGCTCTAGCAGTCCTCAATGAAAGCGACATATCGGCCTATCCGTGGCTGATATCGCCTAAGATACCCATACAAGGGTGTTTCCTGGAAGGTACAAAATACTCGATTACATTACAATTTACACATTAAATTATGTAGTAGTGTAACCGGCGTACTATCAGCCAATTCGCGATGGAATCGCATGATGAATGCCGTACCATAAAACCTTATAGACGAGAATTTGCACTTGCAGTGAGATATAATTATGTAATTCACTTTAAGTTCCTCATATTTTTCATCAAAGTCGTGTTTACGTAAATAATCTATACCTGATGTATATAATATATATAAGACATTTTTAACATATTACACTTTTTGACACAACGCCGACATCGTGTCAAAGAATTATTTCTTACATCTGTGCAAATACTACTAGTTTTACTAGTTACATAACTACTTTAACTGTTGTTGCTTTTCGTCCGTAGACCATTGAAGCTTCACCGAACACAGAACTCGTAGGCTACCCAGAACCCAAGAGCTAGATACGGCCCTCTACGTTCGGGTACCACGCATGTGTTCAATCTTGCGTTATTTTAAGGGGGAATAATGTCACCTAAGGACCATCGAGGTTTTAGTACGGACCGAAACTCCCGTACATAATTGTTGAATGTTTTAACTGATGGCTGGAGACAGTGAGCATCGTTCTTACACGATCTTTGACTTCAAGTTGATGGTGTCTTAGTTGGCTCAGTTCGATTGTGATCAGTATCGGTCGAACGAAAATCTAAATGCTTTCCGGCAGACGTCCGCACCGTAAGAGAGCACGAAGCGGAATGTTTATTACTTATTAAATTTACCTAATTGATAGTTTCATTTTACAGTGAGGTTAGAATTTTAAATTTTAGTTCAAATCTGGAGCAAATCGTTGTCAGCAATCAATATAAATTAAATTCATAATCACCGTCTATTGCCGTAGTAGATTCCAATACTGGGAAAATATTTAAAAAACAAAATCATTCTAACTTGTTCATATTGATCCATAATACTAGTAAGGGCTAGATAACGTTATGTACAAACGTGTCCTATACTTATTAATATTAAGCTTATAATCATCATTCATCACCAGGTCATCAATTCAATCCAAATCAATTATAATTGCAGGTGGGGAGAAGTTGCTGTATCTATATGTGCCTATGCTAATTCTTATCATCTGCAACTGGGTATTCTTCCTTATGACTGCGTTTAACATATGGCGGCTCAGTCGAGGAAACGCTGTATTAAACTCAGCTGCCGCTGGCATGCCAGCCTCCCATCGCTTTCAACGTCACAGGTAACATAAACTAATTGGAAAACAGCGGAAAAAAACAACTGCAACAAATAGATTAAAGTTATAGCATCTACTAATAATCGGCTTCATTAGAGATGTCACCGTAACAGTTTTTTATTGAACACAAAAAAGAAAACATCCTTTTACTAGCGTTGTTATTTAATATAGTATTATAGTCAGTCGTTTTTGCCAATACGACGAAAGTCTGCTCTAATCCTCAATACTCGTTTAAGTGAAACGATAATATACAAAGATCTGCACCTACTTTACTGCCAAGGTCTGTCAATGGTATCCTAACGAAGAAAACATGCAAATTATAATCAGATGTACCTAAAATTTGTTTTTAGTAACAGGGCTAACCTAAGCTGAGTTCATATGCGTACTCGGATGTCGCTTTAAGATTAGAATATACAGATTTTTTACAAAAACAAAGGAGCTCTATACTGTTATACGTTTGACATATGTATGTATAATAATATCTCTTCAAATGAATATCTCCCATTTTGATGTATTCTTGAGGTGTTTCAATAGACATGATGCAAGAAATTAATTAAATAATATAATTATAATATATAGATTCCAAAACATGAAAACGCTGAGTCAAGTACTACAAACAGCCAGAGCCAAAAGTATTTGTGTAGACCACCACAGGCATCGCCTTTGGCGAAGTTGACCTGTTACAAGTAATTCTAAATATAATGGTCACTGGTCTACCTTTTTATTCTTTCACCATCGTTAACTCGCTTCGCAACTTTCTCCTAGAAGAAGATGAAAAATATTTACAGATTTCTGGTGTATCTGAAATTATCCGTGATCATGGGCGTCAATTGGATTCTCGAGGTGGTCAGCTCATTGAAGCCGCAACTGCAGATTTGGTACTTCACCGACGCGTACAACCTGCTGATCGGCTTGACGATATTCATTATATTCGTGTGCAAGAGGAAAATCAACGTTCAGCTTAAACGGAGGTTAATGTTAATTAATAAATATAATGGCAATAGTACAAGTTGAAGTTGTCTTAAAAGGACGATAGCCACTGTTTGGCTATACCGTTAACATATATATATATATATATATATATATATATATATATATATATATATATATATATATATATATAGAGATATATATATATATATATATATATATATATATATATATATATATATATATATATATATAGATATATATAGATATATATTGCGATGGTGGCGTCACGCAGCAGCCTCGGCTGTTGCACGAAATAATTTTAATAAATTTTTCATATAAAATTCCCTAACAGTATCAAATCATAATATTTTAACTACATTCTTTATGTTTTTTAGCTTTTAGTTCGAATAAATAAATCTTAATTATATGGTCATACGCCATGAGATTTGCTAACATGTTAATGTTGCCGTAGCCTAGTAATCTATTCTATGTAACTAACTTCTATCTCTGCGTCGCCTTTTTGATTTAGGTTAAGATAAGAAAGTTCTGTTTTGCAAAGTAATTGCAAATTGAATTTATTCCTACTACGGTGGTAGGGTCACGCAGCAGTCTCGGCTGTTGCACGAACGGGCAGGCTCGACCGGGTAAGTACCACGACCTCATAGAAGACTGGCGTAAAGTGGAAGTATACCACTTTCGCGTTTCGTCTGGTGAGTGAGGTGGCCAGAGCTCACTATTTTCAAAAGGTTGTCAACGCATCTGAAACCCTCGAGTGTAGCAGATGTCCATGGGCGGCGGTATTCACTTAACATCAGGTGAACCTTCTGCTCGTTTGGCAACTTTTCATTCAATTCCAATTAAACTCGTCTAATTAATCATCCTTAACAGGTTAAGCGACTTCAGGCTCTCGAAAATGTCAAACTCTTCTCGAAGTCAAAGCAGCGTCACCACGGAGTCAAACTTGAGTCCCGACTCGACGAAAGTCTGCTCTAATCCTCAATACTCGTTTAAGTGAAATGATAATATACAAAGATCTGCACCTACTTTACTGCCAAGGTCTGTCAATGGTATCCTAACGAAGAAAACATGCAAATTATAATCAGATGTACCTAAAATTTGTTTTTAGTAACAGGGCTAACCTAAGCTTATATGCGTACTCGGATGTCGCTTTAAGATTAGAATATACAGATTTTTGACAAAAACAAAGGAGCTCTTTACTATTATACGTTTGACATATGTATGTATAATATCTCTCCAAATGAATATCTCCCATTTTGTTGTATTCTTGAGACGTTTCAATAGACGTGATACAATTTAATGTTAATGCTTTCTAATCACACTTCTTAACATTTTGAAAATATGTATAGTATTATAATTAACGGTGTAGTATACGAAAACGTGTCATTAAAGCTAGTATTTATACATAGGATCTCTTTAGTCTCTATTGTTATGTTCAATGTAGGTACATATAATCCTGTTTCCAATGTGATACATACAAATATTCATTGTCATTAAAGTCTCACATAAATTGTTAATGGAAATTAAATTAATGGACAAGGAATAGGTACTCCCTGATTGCAGAAGAAGAGTAGAAATTTCAGAAAAGTCACGTTGTTGAAAGTAGTATTGATCTCGAACACCAAAAAATGTCATGTTCACATATTATGAAGAAATTGTGCAATTCTTGTGGCTGAATTTTGTGCCGATACCGCGTGAAAAGGTATTACGAAAAGAAGAATAAATGAAAATACAGCTCTTCATCAATTGGGGAAAAGGTCGAAGCTTTCTGTAGTCTGTATAGACTGAAAGCATAATATTCTCTATCTCAAGGCGGATTACTTTACCTATGCTTTCAGTCCATAGTCTATTGATTCTTAAAGAATGTTATTACGTATGTTAGTCGTTATATGAAATAGAAATATGTAGTATAATAAATATGTTAGCATTTGAGATATTCCATAGTTTTATTCCCATAACAAGCACATTTTTAGTTATATGGTTTAATACTACTAACTCTTTTCATAAACGTAGATAGGTAACGCCAATTACATAGAATAATTTGAAAATATGCAATTTGTAATATTTTCATTACCTTCATAGTAATATGAAACGTCAATCGTCCATCGTTCAATCAAAATTACTAAACTTTTTAAAATGCTCTATATTTTCACTAACATTTTTTTTTATTTATAATTTTTATGTGTTATGGTGTCTGGACTCGAACTAAGATAATTTCTTGTGTTTGCGCGAATAGTAACAACTAGTAATTATGTATCAAAAGGGAAGTTGTAGACCAGCTGTCAGCAATTAATAGGAATAAAAGTCACAGTTGAAGCAGGTAATTACTTTTAATTCAAATATTATTCCTATATTTATACTGAATATGTTATCTATCATTAAGGGCAATTACATATACTACTAAAAGTAAAACTTAATTATCTTATGGAACTAATTTTTTCACTTTAATTGATAAAAAATATAGTGAGATCCTATCAAATCATCATTCCAATATCGATAGATCTCGGGACAAGGAGGATTCTATAGCAACTAAGGAACAGTATACTGTTACATTAAAATTTGTAAAAAAATCTCTGCACTAGATTAAACATTAAAATTTGTAGAAAAAAGTTCGAAAAGTTTCGCCGCTGTGAATACTTTAATAGGCAGTTTACAATAACGCCTTAAATATGATAGATAGAACGAGACAACTGTGGTCACACAATAGCTTCTGCTGTTGACATAGACTAATAAGCAGGCTCCTCCGATTAAATGCCACGATCACATCGAACACCTGTTAAATGCAAGTATCATACTATCGCATTTCGTCTGGTAAGTGAGGTAGCCGGGGCCCACTTTATTTAAAGGTGGCAACGCTGCCGCTGTTGAAAATTTCCATGGGCGGTGGTTATCACTTAACATCAGGTGAACCGCCAGCTCATTTGCCACTTTTTAACATAAAAAAAAAAACAAAAATCGTGCGAAAACGTTCCCGTGGCCGTGGCGATATGTGCCCTAGATGGAGCATCTTGGGGGTTTAGTCGTGGCGATTCCGATATACCTAAGCTTGCCCTCGCGACGGCGGATAGGTATAGGCAGGACCCACGTTCACAGAAAAAGATCGCGATAATCTCTGTCGCCTAATCTCAATTGCTACCGCTGTTTGCAGTTGTCTCTTCCGATTTCATATAAACGTATGGATACTTCAGTTGAGTCTTTTTGTGGGGCTACAGCACCACAAAAAGAGTCGCAAACGACAAAAAGAAAATCAAAGATAAAAAATAAAGTAAATTAAGAGCTTCGTACATTTTATTTTATATTCAAAATATTCATTTGCTAAAATCGATTATCGAATATCGTTTTCAGGCCCGTTTTGGGTACTGATTAACACTAGAGTTATGTAATGCATTGTAGTGATTAATCTGTTGAAATGAATGTAAACCCAAATTTATTCGAACATCTAGATACACTTGAAGATACAGAAATAGTTAATCGCAGTAGTAGCTTAGTATAATCAACATAAAATTAACTGGTTTGTATTATAAAAATATTCGTTGTTATAAAAAAGAACTCAATAAAAAACAAACAATGACTAGAGCGTTCGGCGTCTCCGGCACTAAAACTTACCTTTAAAGCGAATGCTTCTAAGATCAATATTAAAGTGGAGATTCAGTAATATCACCGTTGGAGAAGTAGACTTTGCTCGCTTGTAAATTGACCCTGGTACCAATATTCGACCCTTCCTTACGGCAACACAATCGGAACCTGAAATGTTAATCATTGTATTGTTTTTTTTAGTAAAGACCGAATCCAAAGACAGAATCCACATTCATAACAAACGGAACGAACGAACTCTATTTCCCAAAAATGGGGTCACACATTCACCTCCACTAAACCACCACCACTCACCACCCATTTAAAACGGTCCAAGACGAATCAAACTCGCTTAATTACAGATTTCCTATGGCCACCTTCCAAGCGACATCATTAAGGCCCTGGTAGCCATTGAAAGACAAACTACTCGTCAATACGATTCAAATGAGCCCCAACTCGACGGGGTTGTATCGTTTCATTGCGCAGCTACTTCGGCCACCATAATATTGCATTGACATTCAAAAATTTCAGCGCAATCGTTAACCGGGAAGTGGATCAAATTTAATTTGCAAGATTAGGTGATGAACCTCGGACAGGTGAAACTAAATAAAAGCTTGTACTTATAAAATACTGCCGCTTTACATGATTCCTCTACGATGGCGAGTTAAATCTGCGATTATGGATACTCTACACCAATTCATGCCCGAGGCAAGGATGATGGCATTGTGAAATATGAAATTGTAAACAAATCAATGGTAACATGACTGGCAGTGACAGAGTGTCAACTTATCTATGTTTTTATTAATATTTTTTACTGATGAAACACAAAATGTTTCTGCGTTCTTCAAGAATATAATATTTTAGAATAATAATTTCATGGTAAGTGGTGATGCAGCCATTGAGCAGCCATTGATGATCAGCATGCTAGATCAGTAAAAGCCTATTCACTCTTGCCTTGAAGACGCCTACGTCATAACCGAACGGAAAGACGGGTCGGCGACAGGTTGTTCCATTCCTTAGCTCTACGGATGATGAATGAAAATGAGAAATTTCTTGGGATATTTAGATATCTTTAAAGTTTTACTCACTTCCTAATAAGCATCCGTAATATCCTCCGCTTGCAAACGAAGATTGCGAAGAACGCCACGCCGATGAGCATGTTGTACATATCAGTAATATACCACAACGACAATGTAGGTGCCTTAGAACTGGTAGCTTCTAAAATAAAACTTATCCCCATAATCAGCGAAAACTTTAAGTACATAATGAACCTGGAAAAGAAAGCAATGTCTATAAAGAAACGCCAAAAATCGCTTGCATTATAATAATTGTAATGTGTTTTTGACAGATATTTCTATTTTTCTATATGACTTTAACACAAAACACTGCGTTACTATAACTTTAACTCATTTACCATACAAACTAGAGAAATAAATGCTATATATAGAGAGAATAGCAAAAAAAGTGCGTATAATCTCACGCGTAATCTATACACAACATTTGGCATAATTTTCTATTTTTTAGGTTACGATTAACTATACTACTTGGAAAAAACGGCACTGCATAAAGTTACATCGTCATATAGTTTAATATCTACGTTGCTAAATTATATATTTAAATAATTAAGATATAATCCGATTAGATTTGCTTCAACAGCCCATAAGCGACACAGAACGGTATTGCAGCTTTTTATTGTGAGAAGGTGGTGGGGTAGCCGGTAGTTCACCCGACGCTAATTGATATTGACACATTGCTAACATTTAAAGATATGGGCCCTCTCCAGAAGAGCGCAAATACTATTTCAATTCAATTGATGCCAATTTCCGATTCCTGCCAGTGTTCTGTGCGGCCGCGGTACTTCCCCGGACGAACGCCTATCAATTCATGCAACAGAAGCTGCCACGTGACCCTATCATAAGAGCATAACTTTATGTAGAATTTATAGAATATCATTGCCAGCACACAGGCGAAAACCCAGCTTCCGATGGAGTCTCATTTAGCATAGAAATGGGAGGAAAACAACGTCTGTTATTGATGAGAAAGCTCGTGTTCAAGCTAAGGTTCACCTTTGACGAGTGGCATGATTTTTTGCCGGTGCTGAAGAGTTTCGCTTGTTCAGCACTCCCTTGGATTTGTCGTATTGCCAAAAATTGTACGCGGTCAACAGGAACAGGATCCAATTGCACGATATTAGGATCAGCATCGGGACGTAAAAATATATCATTTTCTCCGGTTCTGTAAGAGGAACGGGCGTAGGTTAGCTTGAAAACTCGTTTCATACAAAGAGCAAGTGAAACGATTTTATTCAACTTTGACTTGTTTCAAACGCTTATGGGTATCGATTAGGTCTATCACACTTTTCCTGATTAGACATATCTACAGAAAAAAAAGTAAAAAAAAATAGTCTTTATGTACGAAAATAAGTCTTTTGAAAAAACAGCCGCACCACCGCAGCGCAGCAAAGTTAAAGTTAAACTTCTAAAAAACGTAAATAAGCACAAAACACGATGACGACAACAATGATATTATTACAGGATACGTGGTATCTCAGCTGTGAGTGAGACTCTATCCAATTCCATTGCTTTTTTAAAAAGTCTCTCGCGTCACGAAATGAGCCTACTTGGGCCGCGTCCTAGAATTTTTCACTCTTAAAAACGGGGAGGGGAGAGTACATATCACAGGGATTATCCTCCAGCAAGGAATTTGTATCTATTTAAAAAAAAATTGATGAGAAGATTGGTGATTGATGAGGGACGTCATAAACAATCCAATACATAAAGTTGGATCAACTCCGTCTCGAAGAATACTAATATAGGCGCGACATCTTACCGTCAATGAAGCATCCGAGCAATGGTATGTTGGGAGTGATGACACCGGGAGGCATTGGGTATTCATTGAGCAGAACAAACACGAGCATCATACAAAAGGCCACGCCCCACGCGTAGCCACTATACAAAAAGAACGTGGAAGGGTGAGCTGAACGTTGAGGTTGACGGAAGTCGACCAAGCGGCTGCAATATAAAACATTTAAATTGAACCTACCCACATTTAGACTGCGTAGAATAAGTAGATTTACTTATGGGACAATGCTTACGTTTCTACAAAAAATCCCAGAAAAGGTTCAAAATGCATCAATAGCTATATTTTAAAAAGTTGTCAAAGAACGTTTGTGTGTTAAAGGCTATATTATTAATGATTATTTAAATGATAACACACTCTGGTAATTAGTTGATGGCTCAAGGCTCTTTGCCGTGATAGCTCAGTGTCCGGGCGCTCGCCTTTAATTCAATATACTCGAGCAACCTGAGTTCGATCCCCGGTGCCGGCACCAATGAAGTTTTTAACTTTAAGTGCTGACTTATCACGTGCTCCGCGGTGAAGGAAAACATCGTGAGGAAACCTGCATATTTTCGAAATAATAACTAAAAAAAATTTCGAAGATATGTGAAGTCCGCCAATCCGCAGTGGGGCCGCGTGGTGGACTATGCCCTGATACCCTCTGTATAGAGGAGGCCTTTGCCCAGCAGTGGGACATGTATAGGCTGTTACTTTACTTTTTTTTTCAAAGCTCTTTCAATTTTTTAGGACTTTTTATATTGTATTTATTACTAGCGACCCGCCCCGGCTTCGCACAGGTGCAATGCTGATACTAAATAGACTCTATTATGTTTCTCTAGTATGTTATGCACGTATTATACATATAAACATTCCTTCTGAAATACTCTATCTAGTAAATATCATTGTGTATATCATAACTCATTGCGCAGTTTTAAAGATCTAAGCATACATAGGGAAAGACAGACTACGGACGAATTTGTTTGATACTATGTAGTGATATTCATGTCACACAATGTATGTCAAAAAATGAAAAAAAAAGTAGCCTGCTGAATTTCTTTCGCTGGTTCTTCTCAGTTCAGTGGCTTTTTTTTCCGAACCGATGGTAGTATTATGACTATCAATAAATGAGTGTAATGCTCCTATATTGAATAAACATATTTGAATTTGAATTGACATGTCTTTTTTTTACTGCCATCAGATGGCTCTACAGAGGTTCATCTTCAATAGCGTCTGCGGAGTACAATTACTAATATTGTTATTTCTTTCTACGTTATAATAGTATACCCTAAATCATAGTATATTGTTGATATTGTGATGTGATAATAAATATGATCCATGACTTCAGAATGTCAACGACAGTGATGTTATGTAAAGAGTTCCAACGAAGCATCAAAATTACGTAATTAAACATGTCATTTTCAAGACGTGTACGGCCAATCTTTTTAATTCATTCCGCGAATATTTCAATTTGACCAATTTCAGCACAATGCAAGAGCTATGCGGATAAGAGACTAATTTCTTTCTAATATTTAAATGGGAACTCACCGAAAAGCACGCCAAAGGTCCCACGACATCACGTTCATCCATAAAAAGCTTGCCATAAAAAAGAAATATATGGCAGATGCTGAAAATGTAAAACTATTAAAACTATGTAACATTATAAATGTAAAAAAACATGAGGCTCCAGTTGCGGTATGAACGCAATTTATCGTAGACTGTATCGAATCTTCACTTGTTTATATATCTAAAAGCTAATTATATCATTGTATGTATGTATAAAAATGTTATTCAAAATAATGTGTAATAGAAGAATATCTGAGAATCCATAGTAATCACTATGGATTTACAGAATTCTCAAAGACGATTAAATTCATTGAAACATTTGACAAAAAGGGCTTCAGTAGCATTGCAGTGTATGTGATATACATACGTAAAAGAACTAAGGGTTGTGGATTTTGTTGCTCAAATAAATTAAATAAAGGGGCAATGAGAAATTATGTTAGATTTCTGTCGGACAAAGTCAAATATTATGATATAATACATCTAATACTTTAACTTTTTATAAAATATACAAAATCGGCACACTATCTAATCATATGACAAACTCGTAAATTTCACATTAATCGGCTTGTGGACATATAACAACGATATTAGAAAAAGGTTTTTGTTAGAGCCGTGATAACTCAGTGTCCGTGCGCTTGCCTTTAATTACATTTACATAAAATTGTTAATTTTAAGTGCTGAATTATCACGTGCTCGATGGAGAAGGAAAACATCGTGAGGATACCGGCACATTTTCGAAATAATAATAAAAAAAATATATTTCGAAAATATGTGAAGTCCGCAATGGGATCGCGTGGTGAACTATGCCCTCTTTACAGAGGAGGCCTTTGCCCAGCAATGGGACATTTATAGGTTACTTTACTTTTATTTTTACTTTTCTTGTTGAAATTGGGCGATTCAACTCACATAAGGCAACGCAGAAGGTGGTCGTGACGGGCTCTTCGTCGTACGCTCTGATCATTATAAATATCATTGTCGCCAACAGTGAGTAGGCGCATAAGAGGCTTCCTGCGTACGCCATCAACACCTTTCCGGCCAGATTCCTCAACTCGGGCAAGACGCAATAGACGAGCAACACTATTATGAGAAATACGCAGGAAACGAGCAAGGCTGTAACATAAAAGCAAAGGTTGAAGACAACCATTATTGCGATTAGTCACATAGAGACGGATAACAAAAAAATATTAACTTTGACTTAACAGACTATATGTACATGGATATGTTTCGAGTACCATTATCTAAATTTTTATCAAAGGTTCTAAATGTAACAATATTTTCAGTACCCATTTTTATCCTTTTTTTTCTTTAATGTAAAATATGTCTGGCTAGGAGAGAATATCAACGTTTTACCTAACAACATCTTTGGTGACGGTGCCAGGGTTCAAACTTGTGAATATAACCGATAGCCAATCAAAACCCAAACATTAAAAAATTCTTAGTCAAAACTTTTAAATTTCATTATCTTAATTCAGTAAAAATGTTATGTACTGACTCAAAAATTTTACAATTTTGTTAGAGGTTTGGTAGGTTAGGTTACATAGGTTAGATTTTCAAGATTTGGTTTTATTAGTTTTAATATTTTTATAAACTTATTAGTGTTAATTAAAGCAAGATTTATGTCGAAAAACTTAACATTAATTCCAAGCCTATTCATCATAAAAAGCTTTAATTATCGTTATTTCAAAATCATACTTTCTTGATTTTATACGGATTATCAGACTATGGATTGTCTAATCGTGGCGAAGTAACTGGCAATTTATTTAGCTTTTTACATAATGTCAGATTACTTCCTAGGCTTAGTGCAATATTATTAGAAAGAACTGAAAAGCTAGGCAATGGCTCCCACTTACCCCCCGCTTTAACATAATATTCGTTCCAGTTAAAATCCGTTTCTTGGTCATATAACATTCTGAATGTTGGTTCGACTTTCATCAGTTTTCCGTCAGTTGTCATCTCGTAGTCCAAACAGAAATGTTCTCTGTCGATATTACTCCATCGCACAACGGCATTAGGTATGCTCCCCCTATATAGTAAATCATCCTGGAAAATTAAATTTGTTTTGATTATAATTTTCTCAGTGTGATTGTCTCAAACGGTAAGAACGGAACAGTTATAAGAATTCTCTATCTATCTGTGTTATAATACGTATCGAAATAAAGTTAAAAATAGCAGAGAGCTATATAACCATACGTGCCCAGCGGTGAAAGAAAACATAAAAAAAATTTCGAAGATACGTGATGTGCTACAATCCGCAGTGGGGTCGCGTGGTGGACTATGCCCTAATACCGTCTGTACAGAGGAGGCCTTTGCCCAGCAGGGGGACATATTACATAGGCTGTTACTTTATTTTTTTATCTTCTCTCTCTTCTTAATGCCATTAAGAAGATTTCTTGCCACTAAGAATTAAAACAAAATATATGAATAAATAGATGAACAAATTATTTGAGGCTTTTTTTAAGCAAACTCGCATTTGTCCTAACTTATCTTAACACATCAACATCACTTTTTAACACAACTTTTACTTAAAAAATTTGGACGACTGAAATTATTTTGCTTTTGGTCCGTGGGGTCCCCGCACATCAAAATTTTCCTAGGCTTAACGCCGCGGCTGGTGGCAAGAGAGCTGGTTCTTTTCTCGCTCAAAGGTTAAGCATAACTATTCAGCGAGGACAATGCAGCTAGCTTTCCTGGCACCATGCCACGTGCAGATTAGGTTTATTAGATAATAATTAATTTTAGATAGATTTAATCTTGTAAATATTAGATAAACAAAGAATTAATTATTATTTTTATTTAATGAAATATTAATACGATAAAAATAACGGGGAATATAGCATGAATTTAATTAATCGATAAAAACCACTATTTTAATCAGTAAGTCCTATCTAAGAGGTTAATAAGGGACGAACTTAACATTATTCAACAGCCTTAAAATTATTAAAACCGAAGAATAACCAAAATTATTAAGAACCGACCAAATGACAGGAAAAAAACAACAAGCAACGTAATTAGATATATTTAAAATTTTTATGATATATTCCTGTATAAAAGGAATTATAAGATGTCTATTTAAAAGGGATGGATAAATTGGCGTAAGACTTTTCGACAATTCGAAGCAACGCATACCTGCCGGTCGTTTCAACATCAACAATTTTTATCTGTCCGCTTCACGTGGAATGCCCCACACTTTTAAATCTAAGTGCAGAGACGCAGAGAATGCTAAAATAGTTAGAGGTTTAAAATTTTGGTAAACATTTATGTTTCATACTATATCATTTATTGTATTTACACGAATACTAAACACGGTTAAATTTTTTAACCATGGCCGCAAAATAGTTTAGTCTAACGACTCAGTTTGGGTATATACGAGAACCATTACGTATACGATATTGACAATAATAAACAATTTTAGCCTGAACATTGTTAAGGAAAAAACGCTCATACAATGGTTTCGCGCTTATATATAAAGATTTGCAAAATTAGTCATAAATATGAATCACTCGGATTATTCCTAACATTGAACTATTTTATTCATTCAGTTGTGCAATGATTTGGATTTTATTATCTGACTAATATATTATAATAACTCCAAGTTTCAGTAAATGTATATTCCTCTTTACCAACTGTGCACAACTCAACTTTATGGTCGGATATAAAGCATAAGAAATAATACACAACAAATATAAATTCGTTTCTATACTTTTAAAAAAGAAACTGACAAGTCTTATGCAATGTTATATATGGTAACGCGTTCATGATTGAGGTTCTACAACACTTTGACTACATGTACTGGCTCTCTATTCATTGTCTCAATATACAATGTTTGAATGATGTCATTTGTATATATTATTTATTTATACATGTTATACTTTTATTTTTCCTGTCATCATAAAATCCTTCATCTAAAATGATAACCTAGTACATTTCTGCTCTATTTTGAATATCTTGCGCGGTCATATTAGGTAAATATTTTATTCATATGTGTTCAACGTTCTTTTCGGCCGTCATACATTAATTACATATTGTTTACGTTTGTTATGTCAGAACTTCGTGATTTACGAAAAGATTTTAAAAAATAATTTCCATACTAATTTCATTGCTATTGAGCCTTTTCAGGAAACTCCCAAAAATCAAATGGAAAATGTATAGAGAAATAATATTAGTAAACGTATAGTGAAATTTATATTAAACATTTAGATGATACCTGAAGTTGGTTTCGTTTTTTGTTAGTAAAATGTTATTAGGGTTCCGTACCCAAAGAGTAAAACGGGAACCTATTACTAAAACTCAGATGTTTGTCTGTCTGTCTGTCCGTCTGTCACTATGTATTTCATGACCGTGATAGTTAGAGAGTTGAAACTTTCACAGATGATGTATTTCTGTTGCTGCTATAACAACAAATAGTAAAAAACAGAATACAAAGATATTTAAGTGGAGCTCCCATACAACAGACATGATTTTTGTCGTTTTAATAATGGTATGGAACCCTTGAAACTCGCACTTGGCCAGATTTTTTGTGAAACAGATCAGTACTAGACTGCTATCCCTATTGATTAAATGGAGAAGACATCATAGTGAAATCCCATTTCTTCCTTAGAATTCTTAACGAAGTCAATAAGAAACAAGTGGATATGTGTATAGTATAATTTAATATTATGTATTTTGTTAATGATTACTTTATAAACAAATCGAGTCAAACAATGATTACAGCCTTTTTATCAAAACTAGTTGAGTTATTGAATGCCGATGGCTTCTTTCATTTATTATACAACTAGCGACCCGCCTCGGCTTCGCACGGGTGCAATGTAAGATACATATAAACCTTCCTCTTGAATCACTCTATCTACTAAAAAACCCGCATAAGATCCGTTGCATAGTTTTAAAGATCTAAGCATACATAGGGACAGACAGACAGCGGGACCACGATGATAATAATGTCACCTTCCCCATTGAAAATCGGTAAAGGAGGGTTTTAATATCGCCGTTCCCATTTTTTAAGGGCCATGGGTTCTAATGTTTCATTTTTATATTTACACTTTTTGTTTCTCTTTAATTAATCATTACTACTTACCTCAGTTAAAAACAAGTCAAAATATTCAGGCATTCTTCCATTTATCGTGACATTCGTAAGATCCTCCATTTGAAAAACATCTTTTACACTTAAACCCGTTTTTTCAATATATTTTGTATAAATATCAACGTTAGAGAAATCTAACGTATTGTCTTCTGGCGCGTCAATACAAGAATTATTAAACACTATTAAAGTTTTGGGACAGCATTTGTAAATTGATTTTTTATTCGTTTTTCCCTCCTTTCCGTTAACATCCTCAAATTCATTGTTAAGTTCACTACCGTAAGTACATTGTAGAATAATATTTATTGATATAATAACTAGTGATACAACACGTCTGTTCCCAATCATGACTACATGACAATATGACGTCAACTATTATTCTAATAACAAGTACTAAGAAAACTTTAATGCAACCAATGTATATTGCCCAAATATAAATTGGAAACTTCCAATTTAATCTATATGAAAAAAAAAGATAAAGGTAAGCTCTGCCCGCAGCACAGAAAAACTAAAGAATATATTTCAGAATATTTTTCTAAGTTTTATTTCGTAGACACTTGGACTTTATGTGATTTATTTTTAAATTTTCATTAAATATGACTTTGTATTAAATGAAACCGTTTTACGGATTTAATCGCAATCCTTTGACCGTAAACACTAAAAACGGTTCAAAATGACGGGAATTAAAAATTAAAACGCAACAAAATCCGTCATACAGTTTCAATTAATATGTACAATATTCGCGTAAAAGCAAAGAAATCAATAATGTCAAGTTATTAAAGTTTTCTGAAACAGCGATTTTAACACTAAGTACTAAACGAAGTGTGTTTTATTTCCCTGAAGAAATGAGCTTGTAATAAAATGTAGCTTACTTACGAACGTATTAATTTTTATGTAAAATGTTGACGTTTCATAAGAACACGCATGCGTCTATGTGAATAAATATATTTAATAATAGATTTTGATTTTGAGTAATATAATAAGCAATGCAGACAAAATCGCGTGTTTCAGCTAGTATTCAATAAAATGAGGAAAAATAATGCCAAACAATTATCGCGACGGTCGCCTTTATTAATATCGCATACACTGGGATGTGCGGTGTATTGTTGAGCTATTTGCAAAATTTCAAATTACATTCTCCAACAATGATTTTCAGTTATTTCTGAAATCGACTATACATGGGACTATTTGGCAATTGCGACAAACGAATCACAAAAACTGATAAATCAATTATGTACTTTTTTATGTGAAAAGTTGCCAAACGAGCAGACGGTTCACCTGATGGTAAGTGAATACCGCCGCCCATGGCCATCTGCTAAACCCGAGGGTTACAGATGCGTTGACAACCTTTGAAATGCACAAAATAAACTCTGATTATAAGATATTAAAGTGTTATATGCGATAATGTACAATTAAGCTTGTACTTTTGTACATAAAGTAACTATTTAAAGTTGTGTTAAGTCGAAATATCTGTCTATAATGAAAGCAGAGAGAATTCCTGTTCATCAAATCGGTTGTATTACGATTAACAAAATTTATATATTATTAAGTCTACGAACATAATTTTACCTACTTCTAACTGATGAGAACAAACTTTGTGAGCAATAAATTTCTTTAAAAGTTGTGACGTCGGCGACGCTGACTCATTTCATTGGAATTCATAATTGATTTAAATTAGTAATAACCGAAACAATCGAACAATTTTTATTTATTTTACAAAACATGAAAGTAACCATTTATCTACACAACTTTAAACACTGGATAATCAGAACACTTATTAGGGCTAATAATTGTCATAACATAAATACTAGCAGTTACTTAACTTCAGTCCCCTCCGACCGGGAAGGCGAGAAGCCTTGACGTGGCGAAGGGGCCTAGTTGCGTGTAGCCGAGGCTTGGTCTCCCACGGCAAAGCTAAGAGGAACCCACACTGACACCACGAGAGGGCCGCTCTAAAAGGGCTCATTCAGCCCACTGGATGTGTGCTGGAGGGTGCAGGGGACAGGTCGAGGGTGGTAGAGGTGGAGCCCATATGGAAAGTAGTGCAGGCCAAGGTGATCGCGTAACTGGGGGGTCGCGAACTGACGACATCATTTTGCGACCCAAAAACGGGACGATTAATGGCTTGTTGCGGAGGCCTATCGTATTCAGGATCATCCTCGCTGGTTCAGAGACGATTCAGGCTCAGTCGCGCCATATATTGCTGATGTGGAGTCGGGAACGCGCGAGTATGAAGCATACCTGGACCCATCAATAGATACTTTCGGCATCCTGCTTTTATTATGGGGGTCTTCAACGCTCATTCGGTAAAGTGGGGGTCCAACCGGAGTAATGCAAAGAGCCTCCGACTTCTATATAGGGGATCCGTGAATACATATGTCCGATGGTAAGGAGAATCAATTACAAAATTGATTCTCCTTCGACACCACACCTATCGTGGGTCACCCCTTCTGCCACACGCTTGGTTTCAGGATGGAGAGTAGAGGAGGAAGTGGTCACGATTTCAGACCACCGTCACATCGTATTCGACGTGGCGCTTCGCCCTCCCGTACATATCCGCCTTCGCGGCAAAAGTGGGGTTCTGCGACGATGGTCACTTAAGTAGCTTAAAACAGATCTGCTCGAAACTGCAGCCACTGTCGCCTCCTATCCAGAGGCCCAAGCTCATCATGTGTTGCCTAATCCTGGACCTTGCTTGTAGCTGACTTGGTTCCAGGATACAATGACAACAATTTGCGATGTATCGATGCGCCGGGCCAAGTGTTCTAACCTGAAGTCAGTGTACTGGTGGCCGGAGGCCATTGCGCGTCAAAGCGATGATTGCTTGCGTCCCCGACGACGATTCATCAGGAACCGAAGAAGAAAGGGAGCTACAGCCGACGGGAGCATATGAGAAATATAGATGCTAAGTCTCGGTCCTGGAGTGAACTCCTCAAAAGTCTAGACATGGACCCATGGGAGCGCCCATACAAGATTGTATTGGGAAAGCTCCACCCATGGGTTCCCCCACTGAAGGAGATCGTAGTTAGTTCTCTGTTTCCTATAATCCTGGAAAGTCCCGAGCCTGCCCCTCATTTTTGGCAGATAAAACTTATTAGTCTGATGAATTGTGGGTAACTGACGAGGAGATGGACCGAGCCATAAGGCGCCTTAGAAGGCGAAATACTGCCCCAGGCCCTGATGGAATTCATGGTCGGGTCTGGGTGACAACTCTCGCCACCGGACTGATGGGAAGATTTAGACAACTGTTCAACCTTAACGTCGCAGTTTTTCCTTCAGACTGAAAGGAGGCTAGATTGGTGCTCTTAAAGAAGGACGGTAGGACTGCTGATTCGCCCTCTGCGTACCGACCCATATATTTGTTAGATGAGGCTGGGTAATTATTCGAAAGCCATAAATAAGCCAATAATTAATATTATTGCTAAAATCACAATGTATAATGAAAACTAGGGTACTAATCAAATGCTGTGAGCGAAAAATTATAAAGTTCAAAATCTGATACTTTAATACTATCGGGGTTACATGTTCTATGACGTAAAATACAAATTCATACTTTTCTTCATACCGGTACTTTGTAATTTGTAAGGCTGTTACATTTCCCTGGTTGAACGAGCATATTCTAGCAGATGTTACTCAGCTTGTGCTTTACCACAGTAGGCTAAATATTTACAATTACATAACAACGTGTAGAGGTTGAGGGCGCGGGATGTATGCCGCATGCGTCGCGCTCTACAATCGATTATGGAGGGTGAAAAAAAATCGCCCTGATATTTTTTGATATCAGTAATATTACAAAACTATTTTCTATACAAAATTATTACAAAACTAAATTCTATACGGATTATTAAACATGGTTAATAGGTGATTACTAGACAGATCTTACATCAGGTATCATTTGACAGAGTAATGAATCGAATAGGAATAAAATTGTGCTTTAATAAGTCGTCATCACTACATAGTATTAAACAAAGTCGTCCCGCTGTCTGTCTGTCCCTATAACATATGCTTAGATCTTTAAAATTACGCAACGGTTTTGATGCGTTTTTATTTAATAGATACAGTGATTCAAGCGGAAGGTTTATAATTATGTAATTTAATTCATGCATAATATAGCAGAGAAACAGTAAATATAACAATATCGAAAACAAACATTCAGCAGTGCACCCGTGCGAAGCCGGGGCGGGCCGCTAGTGTATTATAAATAGCTCTATTAAGGTTTATTTTTCGTCTAAAAATTTTGAAAAGACACTGTTTTGAATTAGTAGACGTTTTCAGATTAAAATAATACCAATTTACTGAATACTTGTGAAAAGTCAAAAAACTATGTAGGGTTCTATTAATTTTGTATGTCTGTAGAAAAACCGTCCTTATTAATGTTTTCAAGGTTTTTTTTTAATGTAACATTAATAATAAACAGTCTTAAACCGCTTAAACTTCTCATATTTCATCAATTTATAACCCCCATAGTTTTCTTTAGGTGAACTTTTACATAATTTGACATCTATTAAATTATCCATCAGGTGATATCTTTATTTAGTCTGTGGTTTGTATACATCACCTTATCAGTATTATCTGTGCCTAGTGATAGCATGATTGATTTTGTCCCTGATTCGCTGCTGAAACTGAAACCAGCTGTTTGTTGCATCGTCTGCATTGCGCCTGCCTGAACTTAATGCACTAAAAAAAGCTAGCCCAGACCTAGCCCCGGATTTCAGTTTCGTGTACCCTTCGTAGCCAACATGACGTCTGTCGTAGATGAAAGGTGAATATAAAGTTAAAATATTATAGTCATTGTTTTGTACATTCCATACATGTTTTAATGTTTTTAGGGTTGCTGATGAAGTCGAAGCTCTTGAGGCTATTTTAATGGACGATGTAATCATCAAAAAAGTGGATAATGTTCCGACAGCAATCGAAACTATTGTTCATCCATCGACTGGGGACGATATTGATCAGCAATTTGTATGTGTAACTTTGGAGGTTCGTTTGACCTCGAATTATCCAGATAGCAGTCCTGAAGTAATTCTTAGGAATCCTAGAGGCTTAGATGATCAGCTGCTGGCCAGCATTAATTCACAAATAAAGAATAAATTGATAGATTGTCTGGGTCAACCTGTTGTTTTCGAACTTATCGAGGTGAGTTCTTGTTTTCATTTTTATTTGTTTTAGCTTTATTATTATGGCCTATTTTTTATTTCAAATTATTATTTATTTAACATATTTTCATACATTGAAATTATACTTATATTGTCTCATTAACAAAATTAAAAATTAATGTATTAAACTTAAATGTTTAGTCATTTTATAACCTATATTTTATGGGTTTGTAGTATAGAGTTTTTAATTTTCAAAATTTCTTACTGTATTCTTTCATAATAATTATAAAATAACAACATATTTACAATTAGATTATTATATTCATATATATATTTAATTGATACTTAGCTTATTAATAATTTTCTGTTCATTGTGATTGTAAACTTGATTTATTAATATTGTTAAGAATTTGATTCAAAATTCTTTATGACCACTTGTTTAAAATGGCTGAAATATCCAAAAGTACAAGTCTAAGCCGGTTTGATTGATTTTTTAATAAAAACAAATAGTTATTAAAAAATAATATTTTACTTTGTTTTAACAATAAGGATTGTAATATATTTGAATTTAATAAATAATAATTTAGATAGTTTAACAAATTGTATGTAAATAATTTATCTTTGAATAGTTTTTTAGTGCCTACATAATTTTTTAAATTATTATGTTTGGTATAATGTAAATATAGAATATTTATTTAAAGCATTTTTTATTCTTAATATTAATTTAAATGTTTTGTTATTTATGTTGTTTTTGTAATTTTTTTGGTGAAAATAGCTTTTTGTCATATGACATTGACATTTTCATTTAAAAAATTAGTTAATTTTTATATCAAGCTTTTGATATATTTTGATTCATTACCTTACTAAAAATCATTTTAAACTAGTCCCATCAGATAGACTATTACAATGATACACATTAGAATATTCCTGTTGTTTTAGTAATTTCTCTTGATTTGCAACAAATAGACTTTTTAATGTCATGCAGGTAATGCATATGTGGATACACATATAGTGTTTTGATCAAATAATTTAATTTAACCTTGGAGTTTATATGTGGAATTCAATTTATATAACTATAACATATGATATTGTTCTATTATTTTCTTACTTTCAGCTGATACGGGAGAAGTTAACAGAGAGAAACCTGCCAAGTGGACAATGTGTTATATGCCTGTTCAGTTTTGTCAATGGAGATGTTTTCATTAAAACAGAATGCTATCACCATTTTCACAGCCATTGCCTTGCCAACCATCTAATTGCTGGAAGGAAGAATTATCATGAAGAGATGGAAAAGCTGCCCAACTGGCAGCAGGTGCAAGCTCCACCATACCAGGTGAATGTCTATTATATGTCCAGGGTTTTGACATTAAAATTTAATTAAAAGTATCTATATTACTTTTTGCCAATTGAGTGAGGTAACTGAGTCTACCGTCTCATAAAAATTGAATACTCAATCACCACACCACGCCTGTTTTGTATATGTCTAAACAATGCGAAAAACTTGATATCAGGAGAACTGCCTGCTACACCCTTTATGGGGTATACAGGGGGTAGCCTGCTCCCATAATGAAATTAATTGAAAATTGTCATTACAGCAAACATGTCCAGTGTGCCGCTGTCCCATGTCATGCAATGTGGACAGCTTGAAGGAAGCTCCACCGCCAGTCGACTCAATAAACGCTCCACCATTCCGTTTGACACCTGAAATAAAGGTATTGTATACCAAAGTTTCCCCAGCGAAAGGTTTCACCAATGATATTAATTTATGCCATATTTTACTTATGTTGCTGTAACTCAAATGTATTTACTGACATATTTTTCCGCTGAGCAAGTGTACTCTAATGATGGTGCAACAGTAGTAATGTTTATATTTAACAGCTATGACAGCCGAGTGTCTGGGCGCTCACCTTTAATTCAATATACTTGAGCAACCTTTGTTCCCTGGTGCCGGCACCAATGTAATTGTTAATTGTGAGTGCTGAATTATCACATGCTCTATGGTGAAGGGAAACGTGGTGAAATGGATAAGTTGTCCCATAAGAATTTGTGCCCACCATAAATTATTGTTTAGGGTCTGGTTGTACTTTATTGAAATCCTTGTACCGAAGATTTCCTAAAAGCTAAGGCTGTTTTTTTTTAACTCAAGTCTCTGAATTCAGGCTTTGCAAAGGAAAATGGCAGATCTGTTGGCACATCAGATCGCTAAGGGCGGTGTCATCGGGATCGGCGATACCGGTCCACCACCGCTAACAATCACCACTCCAGCTGACCATGAGAATGTGGGTCTATACAATTTTTTTATACGCACATGCATGCAACACATACGTTTCTACACCAGGTCAAGTGTGCTGTTTAATGCTTATCTTGTCGTTACCAACGCGACAATAAATGAACACACATACAGAGGATAACTTTTTTAAATTGTATCAAAAATGTACATTCTTTGAACATCAATATATATAGAGTTTTAAATTTTGCAAAACAAACAGAACTACGCAACAGATTCTGTTGTTTTACGAATAAACCTCTGGCTCTACAGCCTCAAAAAAAAACTGACCTGAGATAGGAATTTTTCTGTAGGGGCTACCATGTGATGTTTCTTTAGCATTTTTTAACCCCCTCCTCCCCCTCCGTTTGACGAAAAAATAAAAACACGTGATATCTTACTACAACCCTGACCCTCATACCCCCTTGTGATATTTCGTGATTTTTGCCGGCCCCCACCCCCCCCCCCCCCCCCCCCCCCTTTTTTTTTTCGAGTCTCACGTGATTAATGGTCGACCCCTTAGAAGTGTTTCAATGATACCGTGCTCTTCAACAGGCAACTAACGGTTCGCCCAGCGCTCCACAAGAGGGCGCCAAGATCGAGTCCCACAGGAACGGCCAGCCGTTTGGCAATACATCCAATGATGACCCCACGCCCGGATCACCCCAGTCGCGACAAGATTATCGCGGCCCCTACAGGTAAGAAGAACTGAGACCTGAATACCACGCTTCTACAATTTTTTCATCGACAACAATCAAAAACTTTCATTCTAATCCATTATAATTTAGAATATCGAATAAAATGTCAATGATGAATAGTGTAAAAAATATCACCGCAGTTGCCACACAACATATTTGAAATGATTTCCGCTTATCTATTGTGTCGGTAACTGTTTTGAGACTTGTCATGTTACATTTTTTTTCCATGGCGCGCTTTTTGCGAGTGCTAATTTAAAAAACCATATTGCACGTACCCATATCTCACGAAAGTTTATGGCTTAAAATCATTAAATCTATTTTCAGCTGCTGTGCTAAAATAAATATATATATATATAATTATGTATAACCGTTCATTACCTACCACTTCATTAGAGCGCATCTATATTTGCATACTACTAGTGAATTATAACGTTTGTAACAGCTTAAAAGAAACCCACATTGCTCCAGCTTTAACAGATGCTATGGATCTTCTGCTATCAATTCGTGACATACCGATGGGTACTATTTCGGAGCTGATAATTAAGGCTCAATACACACGCAGCCGCTCGCTGCCGTCTCTGCCTTCTCTGCCCGCTGTTACCCTCTTAGCGTGTATTGGGCCTTAATACGTTTAATTTGAAAGAGGTATGATCGCGTCTAGGGGTTTCAACCGCCGCGGCAAGCCGGGCAAGCGGGGCCGCGGCGCGGCTGGCACGCGGTGACACGCACCGCCGACGCCTCCGCCCCACGCCGCCTAGCCGCCACCACTGCACCGCCGCCCCGCACGACCCAATACCAACCCTAACACCGCGGCGATAACGCTCAAATTCCAACCGCCCGGTTCGTCGCCGCGGTTTGTTTCCCATCCTAAGTTCGACTTTATTACTATCGAGGGAAGGTTTAATTTCGCATGCGCCACGCAAACAGTTATTAGCAGTCTTGGATCTGTAGATCACCGATCGAAACTTGAGCGCGATCAAAGCCCACGTTCGAAATTAAACCATACCCTCCTGAGTATAATGTGCATTTTTGCCAGTGGCATCGGAGCTTTGAATTTGGAACGTAAGCTTTTTCGCGAGCGTTCCGAGCTGGAGTGTGGGTCTGTGTTGCCGGCGCGTTCGGCGCACGGCGGCCGTTCGAAATTCGAAAATGTGCCATTATTACCGACGGATACAGGGTCCATTGTAAGGCCGGCCGGCTTTAGTCGGTACGCGTCCAACGCTGCGAGACTGACGATTTGGTTCGACTGCGCGTTCGTTCTTAGTGTTCCTAATGCTCATGTCAACTGGTTGTTCGCATCCGTACCGAAACGGAACAAAGTTTTGGTTCGGATGGTACATTTCACGCAACGAATTCTTTTTACTCCGCTCAAAAATTATTTTACTGATAAAGCATTACCAGATAAGCTCCGGGTTGTGAAACTCTCTCGTATAGTTGAATCTTGTCAACGCTCACGGCCGTATACACATAAAGGGTGGTCAGAATACGGGATAGGTGTCACCGTACTCTGGCCGACTCGACTCTTTCGGACCAATGTGACAGGCAACGAGCCTGTCGCCGCCTTATACGTTATTAGTTACTTGTACAAATCTTGAAACAAAAAAAATATTAATACAGTAGTTATGTTTACGACGGTTTACTACAGGTTTTGTAATAGCGTATGGTATATTGATACGAAATAGTTTTTCTGATACGTACTAGGCGGTTTGTTAAATCAGAAATCCATAACTTATAAGTACCTAACCTATCCCAAATTAACATTTACAAAAAAAAGAAGTATTTTACCATCGAATGATTTTATCATGTATTATTCCCCCCCTATCAGGTATTATTAAGTTACAAATCATAATCACACGTCCATTGATAGGATTATTTTTTGTTTCGCAACAAACAAATCTTCAGTCTCGCAAGCGTTCTTAAAGATTGGGCACAACAATATTCTTTGAAATGGCAACACCAGCTTCACACTCGTACATGGTCATCGCAATTTTGGGAGAACTCCTTGGTACTGTGGATATTGAAAGTAATTTAATTTTATTGTTGATATTAAAAATGGTCCAAACATGTAGTTCCCAACATCCAATTTTTTTTAACTTCAATATCAAATTTCAAGAACGTTTTGTTAATTAAAAGAAGTCAAAACCCATCGGCAATGACATTTTTCTTATTTTATCTGATACTGCCATGTTCTTTTAATCCGCTTTTATATTAAGATAACATATTAAAAATTCGGCATTACCTTATTTGTTATAAATAAATATTCAAACGTGAAAAATTATTTGAAAACAATTAGAAAATGAAAAGATAACATCTTATCACGTTATATATAAATAACTGACTGTAGTAAGACATTAAAATTACAGGCCTGTAGCCTAAGTTGTAGACAGATTGCGACAATGGAATTTTGCGTTTTTTGGGATGGCTGAACATTTGATGGTTAGCTAAGCACCTAAATCTAGCAGTGATACAAGTGGGAAGTTCTATGTTTTACTGATAAACCGAACTATATTGTTATCCACACCAAACTATATTGACGGCGACCATATGTACTTTAAAATATTCCAAATATATGAGGTAGATGGAAAAGGAAGCTACTGAAACTTGATTTTTGGTTATACTTATAGTTTAATAGAGCTTTATTTTATAATTTAATAAAAATAATTTATTTGCATAAAATGAGGTATTTATTACTTATGTGTCAACTTTTACTCTAGTATAGTTCGTATTTATTCATAACTATAATTTATTTAGGCTAATATTTTTTTAAATAAATTTACATCAGATGCATATTGATATATAGACATTGACGTAAAACATGAGGTTTTTAGAAGTTTTTTTTTTGTGTCAGAAATTGGCAAACGGCTCTTCACCTGATTTTAAGTGATAACCAACTGCCCATGGACATTTTCAACACCCGTAGGGTTGCAGACGCGTTGCCTCTAAATAAAGTGAGCCCTGGCTACCTTACTCACCAGACGAAACGCAGAAGTGCAACATTTCTACTTCACGCCGGTCTTCTGCGAGGTCGTGGTACTAACCCGGACGGACCTGCCCATTCTTGCAACAACGAAAACTGTTGCGTGGCCCTAACAATAAATTTTATTTTGTTATTGAACATGCAAAAATCGTCAACTTAAATATAATTAAAGCTTGCAAAAGTAATCTAGATCATAACTTTAAAATATCTAATTTTTGGACATGTTTATGGCATTCCCCTATACAAAAGTGGTATTTGTCATTTACTCGCGTTACATACGTCATCAGTCAAGTGTTGCCAGTGACTCCAATTTCTCAGTTAATGGGTGCCTTTAGGGTATTACGTAGAACTTCCCTTCAAAACCACCACCATATCTATATATCTGTCTATAATTATTGACTTATTTTCGTCATATTTATAGTTGAAATTTGTTGGATGTGGAACTACATACCTTAGTAATCGATTCCCAAGTGGGACTTCACCGTGTGCAATATTCGTAAATGTAAGAATACAAAGCGTATAGGTCGCCCAAAACCTTATTATGAAGAAAACAACCTAATAATAGCGTCGTTCACAATTTTCCAAGTCTGCTCTGAATTTCGTCAAACTCAATGACCTGGACGAACTTCAGAGTTGTATTTCTGTTTAGGGCGCTCCTTACACTGACTACGATATGTTTGGACCATTCACCGAATATGTTACCACCTGTATTGTAATTCTGTTGTAATTATTCTGCAATACGTTTTATTTGTAATACTGTATGCGGTAGTAACGCGTACAGACCGGTGGGGCGGCCGATGTTATTTACCTATAGATGTTCAATGTACTCTTAGCTTAAGGCACATTTCTGTGACGTACCCTAGTCAACCCCTAGTGTCCCGCGTAATTTCATTAATTACCCAATTAATGTCGTAAATATATGGCCCTTGTGACTTTGTGCTCTTTCGCGACAACGCTTTCATGCGTATGGAGTTATAGACCGATGCGCGGGCAACCCAAGCTATGAAGATATTAAATTAGTTTTCATTGCATGCAAAATATGACAACGGACCAGACCTATAATTAACTGATCTGTAAAATTATTCGGATCTTATTCAACAGTTTAAAAGCTACATAGAATATGCTCTTTTATCACAGCTTAGGAAAACTTCCAGACGTCACATTTTTTTTTAATATTTATGATTCGTCCGAATACTGCGTACCGTAATTGTGTCGATTGAATTGTAATAACATCACAATACACAACACAAGTAATATTATCATTTTGTAATATTATGCCTGTATAAAGATTTTTAGTATCCACCCCCCGTTCTAGTACTTCATTTACAATTGCCATCCCATCTCTAAAAGCTAAAAACATCATTACCCGAATATTCGGCGCTTTAGATGTGTGACCGCCGAATGTATTCGGCAAAATGAGTAGTTACCTACTTTATACGTGGAATATAAGTATCCGATTTCTTATTCGTACGATATTTCTGTCGCCGTTGTTAATTTGAAAAACAGCAGGACACTGTAGTTATGCTGACCAGTTTCTTATAAACTTAAGGTGATTGTAGTGTATCTTGCGTTGCCCGCGTTTCGTGACGCTTCATATGTTTTGTTTCCCTATCTAAATCTCTTTTTGACATAAGGCAAGTTGACCAAATCATGTAAGGAACAATCGAGAGGAGGGCTTGTTATGCATATCGTACGTTGTACGGTCAGAGTATAAGGATATTTTTTTTCTATTTCATTCGAATTAGAATCAACGACTTATAGTTTCTTATTTTGTTGTTCGATAATGACATTTTTGTACACGGTACGAATTATATTTGTTGTTCGGTAAGTTTATATTCTTTAGTTTATTTATTGCTTCAGGAGTATGATATATATAGCTTAGTTGATCATGGGTTTTAATTCACTCGTGAGCGGCTGCGATCGCAAATCCGAACTACTTCTTTATTTAGTACAATGGTTGTGTTTCGTATTTAAGTAGTTTCGTCTATAGCGTTCGCTTGTCCTAAGTTAATTCGCTAAGTGATGAAATATGTTCACTAAATCGTAAAAATCAGAAACAAAGTCATGCAGTAGTAATAATCAAATCAAAGTCAACAAAACCGATATTGTTTGGATAGTAATAATAGTCTCCGGATCAGGGATACGTGTGAATTTGTTAATGGCAAACATTGACCAGTCGATCTTGTTTTATGCGATTTAGTGAATATTTATTCGTTTATTATAATAGCCTTGGAATCCTAGTCTGAGGATGTCACATACAACTGAATGGTCAGCCAGAATTGCACACGAGTACAGAAATAGGATTAGTTTTGAACTCGGCCCGAATGCAAATTTAGCAAACTTTATAAATACAAACTTTACCTCATGCTATATGCAATGGAAGTCATTTAGGTTTTGTATATTTCATTCGTCAGATAAGGATTTATCGACGAGTGTATGTAAACTTACGAATGAGGCAACAAAATACATATGAATAACGTTTTACATGACATTGTAGAGTTTTACGTATTTTATGAATATACATAACTAACGTTTCTTTAACGTAATCATTTTAGATTGAGTTTTTTATTCATCTTTTTGATCGTCTTGTAAGGTTTTTTCTCATATCATCAACAAAAACGTTTGCAGTATTTTACTCATGTTTCGTAAAGCTTTTGTACACTCGTCGTTCGACATTCGACTCTTGCCTCTATTTTAGTGCAATAATTTCTTTGTATTTAGCGATTTAAGACACATGGACCT